AAGAATGTCCGGACACAAACAAGATTGACCAACAATTACATTAATTGGAACCCACTCAATTACTTAACATGAACATATGTACAATCAATACATCAAATGTTGTGAACTCTGTCTTGAGGAGCTACCCTTGAAGAATTGTAAGACTTACAGCAGTACGCCTACATTCCTTCTCAGGTTGACGAACCAGGTGAAAGACGTCCGGACACAAACAAAATTACCAACAGATAGATGAGAGTTGGTACTAATTCAGTATGTACAACATGAACATATGTACAAAATAACGCATCAAGTACGATGGACTGAGCTTCGACGTACTACCCTTGACTATTTTAGGACTTAGAGCAGTACGTCTACAACCCTTATCAGGTTGACACCCTACGTTGGAAAATCGTCGCAGAGTCCATTTTTTGACCTCCCTCTATCATCTTTATCCGCAACACTGAACGGTAACATGCCCATGTGATTGTATCATGGAACGTAAATGACCAACAAACATACGACGTATCTAACCAACCAAGAGTAGGCACAGAGCAATTTACACCAACGATAGTAACATTCAAATAGTAGCTTGAAACTTGAAAGGCGTTTATTCGTGCAAGTCAGTTTAACAATTACACTCTCATACACAGTTGGCTTATCCTCATTAAACTGGCCACCGAATTCCGTCCTTTCAAACGGACCGATACTAGCATAACCACACCACAATACACCTGAATTCATGGACGTCCCTTTCATTGTGGATGACAACACCAACGACGACTGACTAACACCAGTTGGTGAACTCAGCGGTTCATCAGAAGCTGTTGTTGTTCGGCTTTTAGAAGGTTGTCTTACCGCAAGGTTACCACCATTGCTATCTTTTATGACTAGCTCCAGTTTAGCATTAACATATGTCGATAGGTAGTTTACACACAGATGATTTACACTGACGGTGTCATGAGTATCCATACCTTCTGCAACTGCATCTGCCTTTAGCTCTACTTCACGTTCACAGTGTACAGAACCTTTCTTCAACTCAGTAGTAGTAGGCATTCCGCTCGTCTCATCATGATCAGCCAAAGAGCAATCTGTACTATCATGATCATTGTTACAAATATCCACTTTACCACCATTTGTACGATTGACTTCATCATTGTGAAACTCTTTAATAACAGCAGTAGACAATTCGTGTTCTCCTTCATGAGTCCTTAGAGGTTTTATACGTTTACTCGGACTAGTAATACCTTACAAACTTGTGGCGTCAGAACTGGACTCTGAAACTGTAGCTCTCTTCTTCTGCACAAAGTGCGGTGTCGTCTGTGACACTCTATTGAACAATGGCTTACCAGTTGCAACTACAGGCTTCTACACTGCACCATTATCGTCACACAATTTGGAGAAGACGTTCAGCGAAGAGACTCTTTTCGGCGAATTCATTCACATAGCTGTACAATCGCATTTATATATAATTATTTGAGTGTGTGTGTGTACATGAGGTTTGTCAAAATTAGATAATTGATCAGGTAATAAAAGAATGATCTAATATAGAAACAAAGTTAATTGGACAGCAACTAAATTAAGATTGAGTTAGTAAGTTAGATGACGTTCAATTCTCTTTCAACAACGAAATATATCGCCAAAAGGATGGTATAGCTATGGGCTCACCACTAGGCCCATTACTTGCAGATTTCTTCATGGCAAAACTCGAAAACACATGCATGAAGAAAATGATCGATACCTTCGGAATCTACAAGAGATACGTCGACGACACTTTCATTATCGTCAACAATGAAGAGAATCTAGACGACATCCTGAAGTCGTTTAACAAGTGCCACCCCGCAATTCAGTTCACGCTGGAGAAAGAGTCCAACTCTAAAATATCCTTTCTTGACATCCAACTAACAAGACGAGAACACGATGGAACACTGAAAAGATCTATCTACAGAAAGTCAACATGGAACGGACAGCTGATTAACTTCCACAGTTGGGTACCCCTATACACCAAACGGAACCTGATCCGTTCACTTAGCAACAGAGTTCGCAGAATTTGTACCCCGGACACCGTAGAAGATGAACTGGACAATCTCAAGAGAATCCTCGTCGAGAATTGTTACCCAGAACGATTTATTGCAAAATCTATGAATCCTAGGCCACAAAAGCCGCCCACGCATAGCGTCCCGAAGAAACCGCTCTACATAAACCTTCAATTCAATGGAGATATATCTGCGGAAATACTAAAAAATCGACTGTCGCGCTCACTCAAGAAGACTTTCTTCGCAGCTGAACTACGACTAACTTTCTCCACAAAACCTATGATTCATGTGAACGTGAAGGATAAGCTACCACTGTTGGCCTCATCAATGTGTATCTACCAATTCACCTGCTCGTGTGGAGCCAGGTATGTCGGCCGTACCCAGCGTTCGCTTTCCAAGCGTATCACCGAACACTTACCAGCATGGTTTTACAAAGGAGAAAAGCGATGTCCCCGCAGCTCCATCTTAGAACACCTGATAGAATCCGGACACCAAGCTGCACCCCAAACAAACTTCAAAGTCGTCTACAGAGTAAGAAGTAGTCTTCCAAAAGGTGTACGAATCAGACTTCTTCAAACTGCAGAAGCAATGGCGATTCACTTGCTAAGCCCTGAACTCTGCATACAGAAGAGGTTCGTTCAATCACTAAACTTACAATGGACTTAACCTACATTATTACCTGAAAGGTAAATTCTACCTAATTTTTTTTTCTGTCTCTTCATTGGTATTATTCTGTCTTCTCAATTGTAATATTTTGCATTTTCAACTTTCTTGTCTCTACCCCTACCCGATTTAATTTCTACACCTCACTACCACTTTAATTGACCTGACCAACGCTCAATTTATAGTCATTTATGTTACGTCATCCAACTTAATTGCTCAATTTCATTTCTAATCTAAATGGCATTATTATCTACCCCACTTCTACTTAGTCTCTACCTGTAATTACCTCTGTTGCTAACCTGACCTAAGTTAAAACATTTTAGTCAATTGTATTACGTCATCTAACTTACTAACTCAATCTTAATTTAGTTGCTGTCCAATTAACTTTGTTTCTATATTAGATCATTCTTTTATTACCTGATCAATTATCTAATTTTGACAAACCTCATGTACACACACACACTCAAATAATTATATATAAATGCGATTGTACAGCTATGTGAATGAATTCGCCGAAAAGAGTCTCTTCGCTGAACGTCTTCTCTTTTTCATATGACTAAATGGGGATTTTCAAGATACACAATTTGGAGTCAGACCTTGATGAAGCTGAATTCACATTTAGCTTATGACCAAACCTGGTCACAGCTTCACAGTTCGCCTTTGTATGCTGAGACCCTTTCGATAAATGATTGCGTTTTCCTCTCAGAATGCTCTATTTTAGGGGTGGGATGCAATATCCTGGCAAACGTACTCATAGATTGATTCACACTATCTTTTACCAGTTTCAGAATATCACCAAACTTTGGCTCAACTTCTTCGTCCTCTATACAAGAGCTTATCTTCACCCACTTTCTTTGCAGTCGAGTAGGTGATCGTCTCACTATTACCTCCAGGACGGAACTTGAGTTCAGATCGCTCATGCAATTCATCGAAATCGACATATTCTTGTAAGTCATCACATTATCCAAAAACTCAGAGAGTGCCTTGGAGTCATCTTGTAATTGACTACCATTACCCTTACCAGCCTCGAATAATTTCTTTGCAATCATCGAAGGTCTTCCGAATCTTTGACGCAGGATACGCATCGCCTCAGCATATTCTTCGTATAGGGGCATGAACTTACAGCACTGTATAGCTCTTGAAGCAACTCCAGTGCAGTACCTCATCAAATACATCAACTTCATTTCATCATCTAATTGGGAACCACTCAACACGATCTGAAACCCTTTGATGAGCTGTGGATTGTCGGTTGGGTTCCATCACATTAGCGATTCTCGACTTTAGGTAATTCTCAAGCCTTTGTATCCCTAAACAGCGAACTATGATGAACAGACTCATCATGCTGGGTATCATGAATATGGTTACAATCAACAAGCAACTCGGCATTAGTTGCTTTCCTATCTGCCTCCAAGACGCCTTGTCCCTTCTTTGATCCAGGCACCTCAGAACTTGACCAAACAATCCAGAAAAGTTCCAGATAACACTTGTCCAAAGAAGATGGGCAAACACCAGAAACTGTCAATGTCCAGCTCTTATTTAGATGGACCTCACGCTGTCCCTGGAAGACTTTGTATTAACCCTAAAGTAAGGAGAGTCAGATTGTGAGAGTTACTCAGATCCCGTTGTGTCGTTGGATGGGAGAGGTTGGTCTCATGTAAACTTTGTACGATTCCTCGTTCTTCCTAGATGGGTTCAGGATTGGTCTTAGTGATGGAAGGCTTATTTGGGCATTATGTTCCCCCTGATTAGCCTGTAGGGTTTGTGGAGCGAGGATCCTCATTTTTTTCTGGAAGAGGCCCTTATTAGCCAGAAGGCAGTCACTACTATTGTGGGTGGTGAACATTATCAAAAACTGTTTTAGCCTGTCTGCACTGAATATTGACGAGCTTCCTAGTTGAATGAGCAACACCTGAGGTGCCACCTTCACTAATGGCTTCAAGACGATTTCCGAGCATATGGTAACGCTCCCAGTGCCTGTCTACATGTGTCTATAGATTACACTGTTCACAGTTGAACGCCGATGTTGTGAGTCTTCATCTCCCATTAAGGAAGAAGATCAGGACCTGCTTTAGTAACTAATCTAGCTCCAAATGGGATTTGTTGAACAGATGTGTCAAAACCACGGACAGGAACTGTGCAGCTTCAGTACATCCCTTCCTCAAACATTCCGGTCCAGTCAATCAACTGAGAAATCAGAAATGACTTGAACAAAAGTCTCTTTGGCCGCCCTTCTAATTGGGCTGGTGTTTTGTATTAGTGGGACGAATCTGAAAACAATCAATGCGAGGCATCAACTAGGTACAATGTTTATATTATCAGAACATTGTTTGAAATTGCCGGTATAAAAGTAACCCGGTAAGGTTGTTCCGTTTGCCAGGTGTTCGGTAATTTGTTGACTGGTAACTCTCGCTCAAGGTGAAAATACATTGATGGTTAAACTAATGACTGGAGTAAAGTTTACTATTTGATATCACATACTGTTTCGGACTACAAGGCTACACATTTTTGTTTCACTTCGTACTGAGTTACTCCTGTAAGTTGAATATGCTTCTAGTAAATGTAATATGGCGATAAGACGTAGTCAAAAAAGAGTTTGTGTGGCTTGTCGTAGTCGAAGTAGGATATTCCACACAGGGTTCCTATCTTTAGATTCTCTTATTCAACCATACTACACATGCTCAAAACCCTTAATTTTTCCTATATTTTGCAAGTAAAGGTAATATATGGGTGTAACCGCGATTTATTCTTTGCTTGTCTCCAAATCAGATGTGTTGATAGGAATAGGTTTGCTGGTCGATATAGCAGTTTAGACCTCTGAGCGCGTTCTTTCGTGGTTACGAAGACCATTTAAATTTTAGATTGATGGTTTTTAAATTCTGCAAGGGTACAATGATCGGAATCTTTGTTATGCAGCAGTTTTGACGAGTGCATATAATGTTTCCACCTAATTGTCATAGTAGAGGCGTGAATATGCATATAATTCCGTCACTTATATAGTTGGTAGATAAGCATTCAGGGGTTTTGTTGGGCTGGTGTAAAGATGCCGTGTAATGAGGTTTTTGTGTAACTCAAAAGAAGAAACATTTTGATTCGATGAATCAAGTATTGTGATTGGACCGTGTCTAGTCCTTTCTTTGGTGCAGACTGAATTCTATCAGTCAGGTTTGCAATGTAGCTACCATTCTAGGTAGCTCGCCATCACGGTGCACATTGGTTTGATGATATTGGATAGTTGGAGGCACCACTGAAAGGATTAGACACGTCAGACTAGTTACTAGTGTCCAATCCAAATACCCCTCACAGTCCTACAGGAGGTCAGTTGTGAGCCCGAACAGCTCAGTGGTAACTTCTCTTACTGCAGCATTGGGTGACGTGAGTTCGAATCCTACATTGGACACGAGTCCCTTCTAGGTTGCAGATATGCCTTGCTGACGAGTGCTAACTAGCACGAAACCTAGGTTCGAGGCTTCCTGCCGATTGCCTCCAACTATCTAATCGGATCAAGTATCACTAGATTCCTAAAGCTAGGATTATGTCATACTGATTGCTTTCACTCCTAGTAACCGATAGTTATACTGAAACCTTTGAATGTCACTAAATAGGGTATCAGGATATCCACTATGTTCATCAGGAGACGACTGTACGAAGGTTTGTAGTTGTCAGTTACTGGTTCCATCCCCTGTGACTAGTGCGTTCATGGTCTCCAAAACCTATAGTTAAGTGTGCTCTTAAGATGGTGTTTCAGAAACTTTCAATGGAAACCGCAATCAGCTTTAGTTGGTTCTATTGTAAAACCATTGGTGTGTCCCTTCAGTAAGAATCATTGTTAGTTCGGGGTTTGTTAGTCGTTTGAGGGGAGGTTAGATCATAGTTAGGGGTGTAGTTTGGGTCTGTCGCTGAACCAAACCTGTGCCTCCATTCCCAAACTTCATTAACTTGGCTGGTATGTATGAACTTAATATATATATCCCATATCCGTGTTCTAGTGGTGACACGTTGAGTTACGCAGTCTTTTTTTAAACCTGTTCATTTTATTACATTTTTTCTCTTGCTGTAATTCAGTATTCACTGTCACTCATGGGTTATACGCATAGTCGTAGCATTCGGTGTTCGCTCACTAGGAAGCCTGCCAAATATTTTTGCGGTCAACTTTGAACTGCATCTCATTTCTCGAATTTTAGGTGTTCTATGACGTGAGCTCTTCCCAAGTATGTTAGATAATCTGGTGTAGGACTGTCATAAATTCATTAGATGTCAAGCATTTACTGTATGATAACTGATCTTTGTCTTCGTTTGCTAAGCCAAACTGGAAGTTGTCTTAATCATTATACTTTAATGAAACAATGTGTAGTATGTCACTGAAAATATTCACCGTTTGAAGCTTGTTTGTGAAAGAAAAGGAATGTTTTGTGACAATTATGTGAATAGCTTACATCTTATATAAACAGGGAAACTAAACAACGCCTGCTTTGAGCATCTCAGGTCAAATGTTGGGAGATATACTTACGAATTCAGTAAGTTCCCTGTGCGTCGGTGGCACAGTGGTTAGGACTCTCTCCGACCATGCACATGGTCCGAGGTTCGATCCCCCGCCGACGCACACCTGATATCTATGGTCGGCCTGCGAAATTTGGGCTACCGATATCCATGCTGAAAATTCCATACTTGTAACAAAGTACGAAGTAGAATCAAGCTGTAATCAAAAATATAAAAAAAATAAAATAAATAAAAACTAAAATTTTCTTAAAAATCACCATACCTTGCATTTGAATAAATGATTGATGTGTTGTGTATGTTCACATTCCCTTGATGTGTAATTCCGTTATAAAGGTAAACTATCTTTGGTTGCATGTTTGACTTTCAGCAACAGGTTTGACCATCTCTTCCGGCGTTTAGGAATGCCAGCCATGATGGAAAGCACACAAAAGCTTTCGCACCAATAACAAAGTCAGTGTGCATTTTCGGGTTTTCTTGCACTAACTGCGACCGATTTCCATTTCAAACTTTATAGAGCTGAAATGGGGTGGAAATTTAAAAGCACTATTCTGTCAATAGTTTAAGTAAACATGCAGATATCGTGTGACTGGTGGTATCCTACTTTGGGTTTTCTGGTTATGTAAGATGTCTACAGCATCCTCGCGATACTGGTGATGTCATAAGCAAAGACGTAATCTCAGTAATTAAGTGGAGTCCAAGTTATGTTGCTACTTTCATCACACCAACGTTAAAATACCGTGACATGATGATAAAGAGTATACTTATTGTCCAGTAGATGGAATATATTACACTTGAATGCCAGTAACGTTATCTGACTGTATTTATCTGTCTGTTATTACTATTGGCTGGGATAAGGTAGAAAGATTGGTCAGCTGCATTTTAAGAAGCCTGTTGCTCTGGTTTGCTTACACACTCTACACTATTTTAGATTTTTGTTTATTGTTTATTGTACGGTGCATTATTTTGTACCTTTTTCTGTTTTTCAGCCATGTGGCCGCACTTTTCAACAGTTGCTTGGACAAAGTCCCTTATTCATGGGCCTCCAGCATCAAGCGTTGGAGAGCAAGTAAGTAATTCAGACAGTTGGGCTGCACTTGCTAAGCAGTGGGCTAATCAGCGTAACAGTAATATGCAGTCCAATTATGCAAGTGAACTCGCTCCTCCACCCCCACCACCCCCACCGCCGCCACCGCCACCCCCTCCTCCTCCTCCTCCTCCTCCACCTCCTCCACCACCACCGCCACCACCACCACCACCTCCAGGTATAACCCCAGAATCTGCCCAGTTGCAGCCTGACACGGGTAGCATAGTTCCCAATGCGCCACAAATCAGTACAGACCATTCTTTAGTTCAGAATCCTTCGGTCTGTGAGTTTAGAAACAATGTGTTGCCGCAGGAAATGCGACAAGCTGCCGGGGTCGCAGTTATCTCCCAATCTTCACAGATTACACCTGATGATCCCCCACCTGCACGAAACGTGTGGTCTGCTCCCGAAAATCCTACATTTCAACAAAATGCATGGGCTAAAAATGATAATCATGTCTACTCTCAGGACAGATGGCCCACACCTGGGAATATGTTGCCCCGAAATCCATGGTCTTCTGCAAATTTTGCACGTCCACAATGCACATGGCCTGCATATGAAAACCACCCACCCCAACAAAATGTCTGGCCTTCATGTGACAACTCTGTATCGTTGCGGAATAGGTGGGAGGCACCTGAGAGTCAGTCTTATGTCAACCAATTTCCACAAACATCTCAAAATGTTGCTTCTGTGTCTAACTCTTCTGATGAACATCATAAGTCTGGTATTCGTCAGCTGACTCACCATTCATCTAGTGAAATTGTAGAGGGCTCCTGTAGTCTTTCTGCATCATCTTATGAGGAGCCATATTCTACCACGGGAAATGCTTATAGTCATGCTACGCAGTATCAAAGGAGGTGGGGTCAGGATGATGACAAGAATTACAATTACAACTCTCATAGTTCAGGAGTCAATGATTATCATCATTCCCACAATATTGGAAGACAGTTCAGTCAGTCTGCTACAAGACCTTTCAATTCTTACAACGAGCCAAACCCTCGTTTTAGCCAGAGCAGTCGAGACATGTGGCCGAGAAATTCCGAACTTCGTCAACCTGTGGAGAGGTTTCCTCCACATTCGCAGTTCAGTGATTTACACCACTCGCATGGTGACTATTTCAGTCAAGTTGAAAAGGTAGGTGTACTTGAAATGTCTGTCAGTAACATTGCGTTATATGAGTTAATTAGTTGACTAAAGCGTTGTGTTGTGTTGAAGTATTCATCGAAATTAAGTGTAGACGGTTACTAAGGGGACTTTTCACTGTTGAAGTAGTTAAGTAACGTTGTTTTAAAGGTAGTTTATAGTGTTGTTGGGGCACAGTGGTTAGGACTCTCACCGACCATGCACATGGACTGAGGCTCGATCCCCTGCCGACGCACACGTGATATCTATGGTCGGCCTGCAAAATTTGGGCTACCGATATCCATGGTGAAAATTTCATACTTGTACCAAAAATGCAGTGTGGAATCAAGCTGTAATCAAAAATTAGAAAAATATGTAAGTAATAATCGGTTTGTTTTTTTAAGCCTTAAGTCTTGCTTATGTAATGTTGTAGTTCACTATCAGTTTTTTCACTCCGATAAAATTACTAGCATATGACGTAAAACTTCCAGTTGTAAAATATTTAACTTGCGATTGCACGTCACAAGCAGTGCTGAGACTTGATTTTGAGATTGTATGTGATTGTGAGGAATATTCTCGTATGGATAACTTTTGTCGTTAGTTAGTAAAAAGTTTCATTTTTTTGTTGTAATTTTCTACAGGCTCCGCCTAGATATATTTCTCCCACTAGGCCTCTAAATTCAGAGGTAGAGAACGATCAGTTCCACAGACATCGTGACAAAGACTACCGTGTGACGCAAGATCCTCCGGTTCAGTCGACGGTTGTAGGCGATAGTTGGAGAGATGTAGATATCCGTCCTGTTCAAGTTGACAATACTAGTGATACTAACCCAGCTATTTTTCCCTCTGCATCAAATAAATCCAAAGACGGACTGAGACCCGTTTCTCTTATCCCCACTCCAATCGAACTGGGGTGTAAACCAAGGGGACGCAATACACATCTACCTGTCCCGGAACATTTATTGTCAGCTTTCGGTGGGTGTCATTTACATTCATTTTTAATGTGTGAAATATTTATCAGTGTCTTTCTCATTTGGAGATGAATACGTCATCGGTTAGGCTTATTTTTAGATATTTCTAAGTGTTAACCTGATCATCTAGATGTTACTGTGAATCATGTAGGAAAATGTCGAATATTTATGTTTAGCAGTTAGCTTCATGTTAATTCTGCATCCGCGTACGGAATACTCCTTGAGACCCAAAATTTTTGTGGGTCAAGGCCAATCTGTGCATAACATAACGTTTTATTTTTGGTATCTAGCCATTCCTAAGTCACGAAATCACGAATCTTTACTAAGTTGTCCAGTGTATGAGGATTCCGAAGAAATTTGTATCTAAAAACGTTACAGTCCATAATGTTTACAATTTAATGCAAAGCAGATTTTGCACCTCATATAGTTTCAGATGATTTAAAAACGTTAAAATTGGCATTGTCAAGTTGGTTTCACCACGGGTTAACATCATTTTGCGAATTATTGAAACCAAGGGTCACTGGAATGCTGCTTGCTTTTAGTTTAATATTCTTCAGCAGCGCTCACCCATAACCACACCGGTAGTGAGGCTCAACCTCTTCTGTTTGCGTTTTGACCACAACCATTCAGTCACTGGGAGGGAATCCATGAATCCTAACTTCTACCGATTCTGTGGAGCCAATAAGTATCCTTGTTTTTCTTACAGTGGACTTTGTGGATTTTACTGACTGACCTCTTATTACAAATTAATAAACTTCAACCTACAGTTAGTCGTTAGTGATCGGTCACGTGCATTTTCAATTACTGGGTTTGTTAGGATTTGATTGATTGATTGATAGGTAGATTCTGCTGTTAAGTAACAGCCGTTCTGTGCATTTTCTTTTTCAATTGCTCTCTAATTGATAGTGTTTGTGATGAAATCGACGTAGGAATCTGTTAAATTCCCATAAAAACCCGTATGTGAGACAATTTAAAAACGTGGTCGTCGCAATAAATCTAGGTAGCTAGTAATACTCAAGGTTGATAAGTTAACAAGACGTTGCTGACTGTGTGCGTGTATATATGTGTGTGTGTGGTCGAAATATTACCTCAGTTTTCTCTTGTCGTCTACCAACTTCGTTTGACTCGATTATCTCGTCATAGACTTAACGTTTTTCGGTGTGAAATTACCATTAATTATAAGTAATACTCTGATGGCATATTTATATTTGCAACTCAGAGGAGGCTGCCGCTAGTACTGGAGCTTGGCCTCCAAAGGGATTAGATCTGGATCAAGCCGGAGGTCCTAATGCTAAACCACGAGCTTTACCCGCTTGGCTTCGGGATGAACTGGACAAGCTAGAGAAGAAAAAGGCTAAAGAATTGGCATCAGTATCTAGTACAACTGGTGAGTATAAAGTTAGTATATTTTAAAAAAACTAAACTACAAGAACCTCTATCTCACTTAATACGTGAATCTCTGAATACTAGTATTGCTAGTCAATCACCACTTATTGCTTTTTTGTAGATGCAATATTTTTCTTTGTATAGCTTAAGTTGATAACCAATAGCCTTCGTAATTGGTTCTAGTTTTAAATTTCATCTTGATTTTTTTCAGCGTTTCAGTCGGGAGACAATTAAATGGTTGAAGATAAGCAACTGACTTTTTTCCACTTCACGTAGAATAATTCTCTAACTTAAGGGCAGCTTTTCCTCTGTATTAATTTTGACATTATACGGAGTCTCAATTTATGTGAAATGTGTAGTATATTTACGCAATACATTTTGGACATTCCGACCACACGCCTACTTGTCATACATATTTATATAAAAAGGCGTTAGTTAATTACTTGTTCAGACGTGTTCAACAAATATATTCATAAGATACTATTGCAGAATAAGTACAAGTCTCATTAAAATATTATAAGACAATAACAAACCCCTAAAATTCATTAAATGCTACGGAAGTATCAAAAAGCTTTGATCAATTCAGTCAGCTCTTTACCGTTAAAAGGTGATCACCAAAGTCTGATCACTAAACAAAGATTCGGTGTGGCACTAAGTAGAACGTATTATACAGTTAAACTAATTTTCACAGAGAAAACGAGATTTATGTTTTCCTGCGAGCCCCCCCCCCCGAACATCCGAACAGTAGTGTCACCGACTTTGTTCACCAGTTTACATGTGTGTGTGGTCACATGTCCCTAGGGAGAACGCATCGACCTCTGCAAGTCAAGACCACATTTCTAAATTGCGTCTTTTTGTTTTGTCGAAAATAATGTCTTGATTTGAACGCCGTCAAATCTTGACGCTGCTCATTGGAGAGTCTCCACAGTACAAAGCTCATCACAGATTACAAAAGTTTTCAACTACAAAAATATGGTAAATAAAATAGTGAGTTTTTATTAGAGAAACGGGTATTTTCAATGACTTCAACATTATCTCATTACTAGTATTTGCTATTCAAAGGCGTTTATGTGAACCGTTCTCTCCATATTTTTAGGGCAGCACTAAAAAGCTATGGGTATTCATTTTGCCTTACTTGAGTTCACTGGGCAAATTAGTCTGATCTTTTCATCTATGAAATGGTGCACATTTGTAAAGTGCTCGAGTGCCAACTATTTCTTTTTGTTATAGATGTTTTAAGAAATTATATCTGATTTCATTTTGCCCTCTTCGTCAGATAGTTAGCTTGAACTCAGTCACCCAATACTAAACTGCGAGCCGCATTTACTGTGTGAAGTCTAATTATACTACGTAGTTGCCCAAAAGTGAATCAGTTCAAGTCGTCATACCGCAGAGACATACAAAAGTAGACAAAAGAAATAAACAAAAGTGTGCAGAATACACACTTATGTACACTTATGTATGAACACATAAAGATAAGTGCGAATTTTCAGAATTCAGATGGTTAAAAGGTTATTTCGCACGATCCAGGCCATCTCAACCAGTGGTTCAATCACTGTTTACTAACATGTTGACATCTTAATCAACAAGATCGATGTAGTCAACCTCAGTTGTGGTTTGAAACTAGCATATTTGTATCCGTATAGTTCGTTTAGAGGCTCGTCATCAGGCATAATTTATATGTGGTAAACACTTTGCTGTCGCTGGTTCCATTGAGTTGCACTGGACTTTCAGCAGTAGGTAGGATAGTTATTTCCTACCCTGTTTTACATTTTTTTCAAAAGTCAGGATTTTAAATTTTTTCACTTTTAATTAGTTTTAGGGGCTGCACCAAATGCCAAAAGAGATGATGAGGGTGATATAGTTATGGAGGATGAAACTAAAGCTGATTCCAGTATTTTGAACCCTCCGTTACCAAGTAACAATGAAAGATCAGATGATGATGAATCCAAAGAGGGGGAGAATCTTACTGATGTGTCAAGTAGTCCCGTTAATAACCAAGTTAGTCCTTACCCCCTTTCATCACCTGGAATTCAACTGGTTGAACCATCGGAAGGCAGCAGAAGCCCTAAAACTGTGGTAAAACAATTAGCTACAATTAATTCTCAAAGTATTTTATCCGATGCTACGAAATCAATAACGGTAAGCTTATTGAAGCTTGTAAGCGAATTTCAGTTCTTTATCATCACGCTACTGCTTGGTGTTTAGACTTATTGTAGACTTTTTCACCTTTGAAATCAAAGATACTTTACTTCTATTTCTACCAAGTTGTTTCACTTTATTGGAAAGTAAGCTTTCCTGCACAGTAGACTCATTTGTAGCGAATGAGTTGTTCTATAAAAAGCACTATTTTTTGAAGAAGAACCAGGAAAAGTAAACTTTTGCGAAATTTTAAAGTAATTTTTTACGTATAACTTTGACCAATTGGCATATATTGTAACTTTATTGAAGTTGATCCTCCTACTTATTCTATGCCACATGTTTGATGTGTATTTGGTTTCACGAATGTTGGAACTTTCGTATTCAAATTGGTGTGCACGAACAGCCTATTCATCCGTTATCTCATCAGGAATTTTGTGAGTTATTCGCTTCGTTGTTGGATGAAGAACAAAGAGATGAAACGGTAAGGAAATGTTTTGATTTCATTTCTGTATGTGTATATGTTTGTTTTTTCCTTTTTCAGCAGTTCTAAGTATAGTTATTTTGTGTTTACTTTCTACCTTAAATAAGATGTTGCATTCTTTTTTATTAGTGTTTAGTAGGTTTGCAGTACCTCCGGAATTATACAGTTTTTTGGCCAATGCTTCCACCTAACGTTTGTTAATACTCATTAAGTTAACACTAGCAACTATCGGCTTGTTAATATATGTGTAAAACTTTGGCACTGTGGTAGTAAGTAATTCCATATTAGTTTGTTTATTAGATATATCACACAGTGAAACAGTATTATTTACTGGATGACGTTTCGAACAAAATTTATTGTTCATAATCATATCAATTGTAATCACACAACTTTGAAACTTGAGTTTTATAGTTTTCTTTGTTTTCTCCTATTTGTCGTAGAGGTAGTAGAATTTTCGAGATATCAGGGACAGGTGATGAATCATTCCTATTACATGTATTTGGAGTTGATTCGATAAACAAAGCTTCTGTAATCAATGTCTCCCTATACCCTGTGACATTAGATTTTAAAACTGTCATCCTATCCCATCCTGTTGTATGGATGTGTGTAACTGCATGTAGTGCTATAGCTGAACTATTCCCTAGATTTCTTATCTTATTTGGGTCAACCAATCTAGATTTTGCCAAGTTTTTGTATGTTCAGCTAGTCTGACTGTCCCTGTTCTACTAGTTTGACCTATGTATTTGACCTGACAGTCATTGCAGGGTATTAGATAAAATAAATTGTTTTGTTTTAAAGGCTCCACAGGATCCTTTAACCGACAAAATTTGTTTCTAATTGAGTTTGTGGGTTTGGATGCCACTTTTATTCCTGCCTTGTTAGGAATTCTGCGCAAGGTTTCCGAGGTTCCTTCCTTGTATGGAATTACTGTTGATGATTTAGATTCCTTATTGTTGGTGTCGTCATTAATATTAATATTATTATTACCATTATTATTATTATCATTATTATTGTTATTATTATTATTATTATCACCACTATTGCTACTATCATTATTTATTTTATTTTTACATTTACTTACATATTTCTTGACTAATTTATCCGGATAATTATTAAGTTTCAAGGCTTCTTTTATGTGTATCATTTCTTGTCTTGGATTTTCCTTGGTACTACTTAGTTTTTTGCTGTGTCACTTTACCAATCCTATTTTTACTGACATAGGATGGGATGATCTGAAGTCCAAGTATCTGTTTGAATGTGTGGGTTTTCTGTAAATACTAGTATTTAACTTCCCATCTTCTTTCCTTTTTACGTTGCAATCTAACATTGGAAGCGCCCCTTCCTGACTTTCCAATTCATAAGTGAATTGAATTGCATATATCTTCGAGTTGATGTGTTCAAAAAATCTATCTATATCTATATCTTGTGTTCTGAGTACAGTGAATGTGTCATCTACATACCTCCACCGTACTTTTGGGGTGGGGGTGAACGTTTCAATCGCTATGCTTTCCCACCTATCCATAAATATATCTGTTGTAGCAGATATATTAAATAGCGTACTTTTACTAACTTTATCATCTTATAAAACTGTATATTTCGAAGTCTCTGAAACCAAAAGTATCTTATTTACATCAGATTCTCGAAACTGTGATTTGTGTGCTTCGGTTCTGTTTGCTGACAGCGTAATTAACTGCCACTGATTAGGACGACCTGGTTGATGGGACCTTAAAGGATGGCTGATAAATGCATACGTTTTGGCTTCAAACGATTGATATCATTGATGAGATTAATGCCACAAGATTATTTGTTTAAGGCGATAGAAAATACATAGTGACTCAAGTGTTTGGGAATTAATATTGCTGACTCTTGTATTTCACTTACAATGCCGCTCATATTTCGTATGTGGGTGCCCGTAAGGAATGGTCGTATAACTTATTAACTTAGTTAATCGCGTTAATTGCAACGTGGTCTGATTGCAGTCCCGCTGTTTGTTTGTGGTTAGATATCTAATGCAGTTCATCAGTCGCATGAAGCAGTTGGCATACTTTTATATTATAACAGTGTAAAGAGACAGTGTCAGTAATTTAGAGCATATAGGCAGTATTAGAAGGATATTATCATTTCTTTTAACCTGTTTAGTCATTCAATCATCATAGTAAACTGTACTTTTGTTGTGTTGTTTCTGATGACTGTCGTGTAACCTCTTAACGCAAACCACAGTAGTTCATCATTTCCACCCAGCCGTTAGTCACTTTCCCTCAAGCTTTTCACCGTTCGTTGTTAACTAATAGGCTTAGCATTGTGCTTATTTAAGAGATAATTGTAATGTCAGAAGTATGAACTGAAAACTTCACACAGTTCTCCTCATTAGCAAACTCAAACAATCTGGAATAACTCAACCTCTACTTTTACAGTATCTTACATATTGTCCTTTACTGCTTCACCTTAGTCTTTCCTGGGCTACTGAAAAAAAGACTATGCCATTTTTAGAAGGGTATTAAACGTTGTCAGTATGGCAAGTGATGTGCAACTTAGTCAGCTTGTTAGCACACTAGTCAATAGACATCTCAACTAATGTGAGAAATGGTCCAAATCCATATTGTTTGACCGTAACGGCCGCTCTTTTTTCAGCTCGCTTTGTATCATTGGAGAGGAATAGAAATCATTATAAAAGATTATACACTGGTACAACTAAGTATAAAATCTCAACGAAAACATGTTTGGCCTCCGTCCAATGTGATAGAGATAATGTCGAGCAAAATAATTGGCTCTTATATCCTCTCCTATTTGTAACTCATGGTGACACTATTTCAAGCAACCTATCGTTTTAGATATTAACACTATTATCATTATTTTACACTTTTTGTACATTTTTGATTTTATTGTTACTGCTGATACCAAAACAGCTGTTATTATCAGTCTTGTATTGTTATTTTTCTGTTTTTGTTTTGCTGTTGTCGATGCAATATTGTACCAAATGGTGGAAATCCCATACTGTATCATAAGTACTGTTTGGGAATTAAGCAAATTATTATAATTAATTAAACCTGAACGACAAATGTAGCTGATAAAATATGTGCTTTTTATTCCGCAGAATCTTTTCAGCTGCTTTTCACCTGAATAATACAAAAAGCATAAATCACAAAAAAGAGTTGAACATACTTTTGCGCCTTGACAAGTAGTAAATATGTATTTATTTATTCATATATTATGTACTTAACATACCAATTTCTCCGCTTAAATCATCAAGGACTTAAATGTTGAATGGATTGATTATTTATTAAATAATTAGACGAATATTCTTGAAAAATGATAGAGTCCAAAATTTTGTATAGAACCAACGTCTAACTAGAAAGTGCGTGTCATTAATTAAAACAGCTTACGTGGCTACGGGGAATATTTTGTAGAAAACAGCAAAATAAGAGTAAGGTGATTGTTGGATTTATTTCGTCTACAGGTATCATATTCCCTGCAGTCATTACTGACGACAGTCAGGGTCTTATTACAATTGAAAATGAGGTGACTTAGCGTACAATTTGATCTGTTGCTGAAATATATAGATTGTACAGTTGTTTAGAGGTAGGAAATACAAAAAACTATGCTTCAAGCAAAGAAAAAGTATGCCATCAGTAACAATTTGCAGAACCATAATCACGAAAGTAGCTCAGGATTCACCATTATTTCTTCCTACAGACATTCGAAATGATCATTTTTGTCGTTTTCACGTCCCACTGTAGTCTGCTTTATATTGGTGTGAGGTTTAATAGGTGAGATGCAACAAATGACAAATATGTCGTCGACATACGGCGTGGAAGTCTGCCTTACTGACTGCAAACTTCATTCTTGTTCGCTCCAGGTTACCCATTCAATTTGGTGGCATGGATTGAATCCTACCATTTTCCTAACCACCTGGGCACTTCGTGACGCGAATTAACTATATCTGATATGGGTGTCAGCGTCATTCTTATACACCTTTGATTGGTTATATAGGCAGGTTAGTCTAAATCCTGTAGGCTTCGGATAATTATGTGCTTATATTGATCGAATTCTCCTTGAGAGCTTATCTTGGGAAATTCATCTTTCCATTGATTCAGTCAGATCTATCGTCGAATGATCATTTCGTGATGTTGATGTATTCTCTTTTTCAAGAATATTCGTTCATTTATCGTAGAAATAGTCAATCAATTTGACACTTACTTAAATAATTAAGGACTTCTATTATATGTGATAATCGTCAGTTGCTACTTGTCAATGCTCTGGAGTATGTCCAACCCTTTTTAATGACATTTTTTGTTTTATTCAGCTGAAAGGAATATGCTAACTAAAAAACTCATGTTATCTCTCCTACATTTGTTGCTCTTGCTTAGTTTAACAAGTGTGAATGTTTTTGGTAATCAAAAATAGCCCGTGTGATCACATATGGAAATCATGTTTTCTGTTAACCGATGAAATGTCATTACAACCTGGGTTTTTATCATTGCTAAATTTCATTACATATTTTCAGGCTCGTTTTATCACTCGCACATTAACCGAAGCTTTGCTTGTTGTTACAACTGAACTGATCGACGACATAGTACATGAGGCACTAACTTTGGAAGCTAATTCAAGCAAATCCGATGACAGAGCACTGAAGAAAGACTCACCAGCTGTTGATTCGCCATATCCCCTTTTAGGTGAGTTAACAGTACCCATAAGTGACTGATGTATTATATGCTTTATAACTGACTACTTGTCGTATAGTGTGAAGAAGTTTAAATTCAAATAAACCTGGAAAGGTATCGTTTTAATTATTATGTCATTCAAACATGTATACCATTACTGTCTTTTTCATTTTCGCTATTTCAAATGAAGTCATCATGTACTTGATAACGTGAACTACGATTCACAAAACTTCTGTTTAAAAAATTGTTTGCGTGTTATCGATCTGTTTGGTTCGTTGTCTTGTGTTTGAATCGCAGCTGTTTCAAGTTAAATGCTCTCAAACATTGACCTATTTTAGCTTAATAAGTAATATATTTACTAACTGTTATTGAGTCCTTATATGTATTATCAGGTTTTTGTAACTGCTGTTTACATGATACCCAACCGCTGGATCAAAGGAGATAAACCGCGTTCTATCTTAATTTTCACTACGACTTATCTCTTTAGCTTAGATGCTGGATTCAGAAACTGTTAGTGTTTGTTGTGTTGTAATACATGAAGTACAGAGGAGAATAAAAAAGTACACCCGGCAACATTTTTTGATTAGTTACTTACTCAAAACTGTCTCGGGTAGATTCGAAAAGCTTCCGCAACTGTGGAGGTACTAATACTTTCTGTAACGCTGTTCAAGATTTTTAGCTTACATTATGTGTGCATATTTATACGACTATATCGGGATGTAATGGTATTTATTTCATGATTCTTGCCAATCTGAAGCCCTTGCTGAGATCCGACTGACTCACTCATGTTTGAAGTTATGATTGATATGACATTTTTACCAGACATGCCTTACACTACCACTTTAGTTTGATTTTCGTGTAGATCTACTATTGAATATTATTCGTTATTTCCATCTGTTAGGAGTAGTGCTGTCATCAGTAAAAAAGCTGGTTGTTTCAGAGTATGTAGGATGTGATCTTCCTGGTGCAATTCAAATTTTTTTAATGCTTTGGCCCAGTGATGTTAAATGACAAGAAATTCAACAGTTTCAGCAGCTAACAACTTATACCCACTGCACAAGAGATGGTGCGATAACCCAGTGGCGACGCCATCCCTCCTTGAGGTGCTCAGGTACTACCAGTTGACAAGTCCTGATTACGAGAGAACGTACGTTCGCAATGCCAGCCATCACGAGTCAAATAACATCCAACTGTGAAGCGTTGAATAAACTGTCTACTTCATTTATTGTGGAGTAGGCAGAGGCTAGTAAGCTTGCTGATAAAATCACGTAGCAGATAAAAATAATTTCTTTTGTCACAATTGTGTCTCTAGTATATGTGTAGAAGGATAGGGAAACTAGACACAACATAGTTATGGGACTCTTTGTTGATTTGTTCTCTGGACTGGATGGTTCACTTCCAAGTTTTCATGTCATCTGTTTGTACATCTTCAGTGCTAACTTCGGTGTGGCAATAAAACCTTTGAATTAAACTACCCATAGCATATAAACTATACAAGTGGGAGTACTGACTTCGAAATTATGCGTGAATTGTTACATCTGAAAAATAAATTTGTAAATCGTTGGATAGTGATTCGGTTAAGTGGTGATACGACTCATCATTATATCATTCTGTATCAATATTTCCTTTTAGTTCCTTATGGGATCGTTTTCTTCAACCTTCAGATTCGTACTTTGCAGTTTTATTCTACATGCTCACTTTTTTGTGTGCTGAAAATGGGGTAGCATGACGTGGTTGGCTTATTTCAGATATTTCTTTCTACACCATCTAGTCTTAGTATATTTTCGAGGCAGACTGAGGTCTCATAAACGCTGCCATTTAGTGTGCATTCGATTGTCTTTTGTCAGTTTAAGCCTTCGAAAGTATTGGGAAGTCTACATGCCATTGTATGGTGTGGGCTACTCATAACAATATACACAAGTAACATTTATGACTTTTCTTGGAAAGGCAATCATAATTTATTTTCGATGGTAAAATGGCTCGAGAAAATAAGTGACTGAAGCAACAACAAATGAAGCGTAGACTACAGAGGGAAAAAAGTGGGCTGAATGTTAAGTTTAGTATTTTATCAAAGGTAATTGTGATTTGTTCGAATGAAAATTGTATCTGTTCTCATCAGTTTTGTTTCTGTAGCTGAAGCTAAAATATGTAGATTATCTTTTCCGGTGTATCCATTTTGGCAGCTGGTTAGTCCTAAATGAAAGGTAGTTATTTCTTTAGAGCGTACGGTATACTTACTGAAACCATGAGGTATTCATTACTATAATTACTATAATTCAAAGTTTGATTTTGTATCGCGATTCCAGTAACAATCATTCCGTTATTACTTTTTGATAGGCTTAGTCTCATACAATACTGAAAGTGAGTCGGATTCTGATCAGAAAATGTCGGGTCACAGGTCACGCCCCGATTCTTTACCAGGTACACTACCAGTTAATGATGCTGATGATGTAAGGCTAGTTCTACATCACAAGATTGTGGTAATAATGAAGATGATCAAAGTAAGTTCCCGTGTTTTTGGGTTGACTGTTTATGCATACTACAGTCAAGCTTTCAGAAGTCCTGGTTGGATCTTTCAAGTAGCTGCCATGTTGTTCAGAATCTCAGACATCGTGACGTCTTTTATAAACCATATTTACCGCCACATTTCTAACTGTTCTAGTGAACGGTAATAAACTGTCTTGCGTTAGCTCTAGTACAGTGTCAGGTGGCTAGTTCTGTTTAGATTTTGTCTATTCTTACCAGCACTTTAATGTGAGGGGTGAGATTCCTTCGATTTCTTGTGGTAATTGAACTAGTCTGATCACTTATATATGTCCAAACCAAGTTCACTTCCAACGGTTTGAAAGAATTTGGGCATTTGGTGTATGTTATTCATTATAATAAAGGTTTTTTGTATTTCCCAATGAATGAAAAAATACAAAGTAAAAAATATCGTTTTGTTTTTCATTCATTGGGAAATACAGAAAATGTTTATTATAATAGTCTGGTCAGTATTTAAATCTTTCCGAAACGGGTAATGACGTTTCGCCCGTGTATTTGAAGTCGTTTACTGATAAAGTTCTAGGAGTCAATTTTGTTGGCCATAAGTTTTAAAGCTTTCATTTAATCAGGTACACGCAAACGTTATGTTCTGTGCTAGGTAAACAACTTACGGAATCCTTCGAAGTGAAGACGGGAGTAAGACAAGCTGGCTGCCTACTATCGCCAATGATTTTCTGATTGCAGTAGATTGGATAATGCGACAGACAGCGGGCAACGGGAAAACAGGCATAAAATGGACCCACAAAAAAACTTGGAGGATCTGGACTTCGCCGATGATGTATGTCTGATTTCCCACAAACACTGGAAGATATGCAAGTGAAAAGCAACGAGTTGGTAGAAGAAGCATAAAAGATAGGACTTCAGGTGAACGTTGATAAAACAGAGGTGATGAAGATTTCTGGCCAACACCAACAGCCACAACAACAACAACAGACAACAATCAGCCAGCATAAATGGGAGGAACCTGAAAGAAACAACCTCCTTTACCTACCCACCTGGGAAGCAGCGTTTCAACTACAGGCCAACGGAACTGATGAGGATATCAAAGCCAGAATCGGAAAAGCAAGACAAGCTTTTATTACTCTCAAGTCTGTGTGGAGGTCAACAGCACTCACCTTCAAAAATAAGGTCCGGGTTTTCAACTCCAATGTGAAGTCAGTCCTCCTATACGGATCAGAGACTTGGTCAGCGCGTCATAAAGAGCATCTCAAAAAAACTTCAGATCTTCATTAACAGTTGTCTTCGCTCAATACTGAAGATCAGATGGCCGGACAGAAAAGATCAGCAACAGGGATCTGCGTCAATGAGCGAATCAACCAGGAACCGATTGTGAAACAAATAGGCAGGAAGAAATGGAGGTGGATTGGATTGTGGCCATACTCTGAGAAAACCATCAAGTGACATCACTAGATAATCCCTCGAGTGGAACCCTAGAGGGAAGTGGCGAGTTGGTCATCCTAAGGTGACTTGGAGGAGGTCATGTGAAGAGGAGATGAAAGCATTTGGGCAGACTTGGAACAAGGTGAAAACTCTTGTAGAGAATCGAAGGCAATGGAGACGTGCATCTGAAGCCCTATGTTCCTCTAGGAATTAAACGAAATAATAACTACATACCTATACAATTAAACGACTAGATGCTATCCATTCATGGGATTGTAGTTTTTCTATGTATGAGTTGATCGCCATTTCTTATTATGTTAGCTGCTATTTTGATAAAGATTGACTAATCGTCTTAAGAAATCGAAATCACAGCATTGTAATTGTCAGCGTTTGGATTCCTCATCAACTTCTGAATTATTCGATGCATTTTGAGTGATTATTGCTAAAAAATGTAATTAAGAGTAAAATACGAGCATTGAAGGAATCTTAGAACACTATTTAGGGAAGGAAATATGTATTTTCGGTGAATTCTCCGAAGGTTTTACAATTACATCATAAAATATCAGTCATAGACATTTGAAACAATGGGGATCAATAGAATCAAATATAACCAAAGAGAATGTAAGTAGAATCATAATAAACTGTGAAACTGAGATTAAAGTATATGACTATAGCACTGTCAACTTCATTATCAATCTCATACTGTGCTATAGTGGCATGCTTTAACCTTCATTTCACAATCTGACGCTATTTAAACAGTTAATATACTCCTTTAAACCGAGATCGCAGTTCCATTTTTGATTTTGACTCATGCCCGAAGTGCTTGCAGAATGTAGCATAAATCCGTGTGTGAGTGTAGTAGCTTGTCACGTCAAAACCAACCATTTTTCTTCTTTTTACATTTAAATTTTCTTTGGCCTTTGTTTAATTTACTTAAATTAGTCTAGAATCTGGACAGCGTTTAGATAGTTCATGTGTTCCCGAGGTGAACTGCAGGCCTAATAGAGTATACACATAGTGTTGTAGTTTTTACTAGGATTATTAATTTTAGGCGTCAAATTGAATCAATTCACCTCACCCAGTAATCACCTTATTTGACGCACTAGATAGGATTTTCTCATCCTAATCATGACTGTGTGTACAGGTTTCTTAGACTGCTCACATGTACCTGCTGCAAAACGTCAGATGATTTTGCTAATAAAATCTTATTTGTCATTATTTCATTGTGCCATGTTTTGGCACCAGTCAATGAAATCTACAACAGTTAGTCTAAGCCACGTAGGGAAGTGCAGACTTCCTGGTTGGGGTCTTCGGGACAGTAAAAACCAATGGTTGGAAACAATTTGTGATATGGCTCAAAATCGTTCTCAATGGCTGGCGCAGATGCATCCACTCCTTGTGACATGATTTCCAATGAAGCTATATTGTTCTTCGTTATTACTATTCCTTTCTCTCACACCTCTGTTTACTGTCTCTATTATGCATTTCTTCTATCTTCTTCTCTGGCTTTGTGTGCTATATGGAGTGTGGCGACATGAACAGCCGACCATCGGTGCAAAGTTCTGTGTCGGAAATAGACAGACAGATTTGTCTGTATCTCCTGTGGAATCCCTTTGTCTTGTTTAGCAGTTCCTTTGTTTGAACAAAGCAACAACTTTGCACTAAAATACTCAAATACTTCAGTTACTGATCATTAGAAGTGAAGGACTTTAATACCACGTGGTTAAATTGCTCACTGGAAAGAAAAAAGGTGCAGTTAGTGTGTAAAATTAACAACGCACACAAGGATTCAATAATTTAGTTGGACAGTGTACGAAAAATAATCCGGTCGAGATTATAGGTAAAGAAGACTTAAGGATATTAAGCGATGTTGTTGAAACCAGATATAATTACACTGTGTATACCATTGTGAGGCGAGAATAGCATCAGTCACCTTCTGAGTGCATAAATTTGGTTTTAGTTGCTTAATTGTAATGGCTTCAGCGAAGTCTAGCAATCTGCCACTCTACTAAACTTTACTGAAAGATTGTGAAATGTTAATTTCATAGACCCAAATCCTTTCTGTTGGTCCCATATATGTGTTTTGGCACAAAGTAAGTAAAATGAATGGGGGACTAATCAACCTTGGTAAACAATTTATAATGTGAATTGCGACTAACCTGACAGCTGATAAGCTGGCTTGAGAGCAGCATTTATTGCGTATTTAATTCTTCCAGATTCTTCATCACCCTTTGAGTCCGGGCTTTCAGAAGACCCAGAAAGCGAAATTTTCTATTTTGTTCATATTCCATAGTGAATTCATGTGTCTTGGTAAATAGGCTGCCACAGGAGATGTGACAACTTTAACTGCTTCACTTTTGTACAAATTTTTACGGTGAAACTCAGTCAGTTAGTATTAATTAGGTCAAGTAAGCAGGAGGTGTGTTTCATGTGAATACATATTATGTATGTCATCAGCATACCCTTTGTAAAATTTAAATTCATCGGTCGCATGTCTGTCCAAGGTATACGATAGGATGGGATCTTATGGACTTCATCCCTCTGAGACAGCACATTGAACTGCACAGAAGTAGATATTTCGATTCCCCTTCAGTGAAAGAAGTCGGTCGCGATGTTTACACAACTATAATTTGCTCCGAAGGGATATTTGTAAACAGTGTGGATACACCTGTCTGTCTGTTTTCGACACAGAACTTTGCACCGATGGTCGGCTGTTCAAGTCGCCACACTCCATATAGCACACAAAGCCAGAGAAGAAGATAGAAGAAATGCATAATAGAGACAGTAAACAGAGGTGTGAGAGAAAGGAATAGTAATAACGAAGAACAATATAGTTTCATTGGAAATCATAAGTCACAAGGAATGGATGCATCTGCGCCAGCCATTGAGAACGATTTTGAGCCATATCACCAATTGTTTCCAACCATTGGTTTTTACCGTCCCGAGGACCCCAACCAGGAAGTCCACACCTTCCTACGTGGCTTAGACCAACTGTTGTGGATTTCATTGACTGGTGCCAGGTTTTTGTTTGACCACCGCTAGCTTTTTACCAGCCTGACCCTATATCAGCTAACATAGCTCGTCGAGGGAGGCGATGACTTGGCATACGTAACACATATCCTAACCATCTCAGTCTTTGTAACTTCACGATTTCGTCGATTGATTTCCCCAGTCTACCTAGAACTTGACGCCTAACTTCATTGTTGCCCACCTTATTATGCCATTTTACATGGGAAATAGAGCGCAGGCACCTATGATCAAAGACAGCTAGTCTTTTCATGTCTTCCACTCTCAATGGCCAGGTCTCACCACCAGGTATAAAGGAGGACGGAGCGGACTCATGAGCAGTACACCCGCCCTTTGGTCGATAGACGAATATCTCGTCTACGCCAGAGTCGGCGTAAACTGGCAGGCATATGCGAAACTAGCCCTCTGTATTCGTGCTGAGATTTCGTCATAGATCAACCCGTTGGAGTTGGCTGATGGTACTTCCCAAATAAGTGAAGCGGTCAACGTGCTCCACCAACCGCTTCACTCCCTATTTCTAATGTAGGAGCCGGTGTAGTCCAGTTAGTCCTGTAACATCATCTTGCATTTGGCGGGAGCGAATCGCATGCCAAACATTCGTAGATTGCGGCTCAAGGTATTTAGAAGACTCTGCATTTTGTCAGCGTCTTCGCTTAGAAGGACTATATCGTCTGCATATTCCAAGTCAACGAGATTATTCCCTGGTAGCAAGTCAATCCCTGAGTCGCTGAAGTCACTTAGGGTTAAGTCCATTAACACATCTATGATGAAGTTGAATAGAAAAGGGGATAATGGGCATCCTTGACGGACACCACTAGTTGTCACCAGTTTAGATGACAGCTCGCCGTAAGCCCTCACCTGGCTGTATGAGTACGAGTAGAGTGCCTTAATCAGAGCAATATATTCTCTCGGCATTCCCGCTTGGCTGTAAAGGGAATGCCGAGAGAATATATTGCACTGATCAAGGCAATCCGAAACGCACGCGAAACCTCTCTCTGTGGATACACCGAATTTGTTGGAGGCATTTAGACTTTCGTAATTATCAGAAAGTTCGAAGTTATCTTCCAAATGGTACATTTACAGCTTTTCACGAATGAAATTGATATATTACTGTCATTTAGGATAATCAAAGTTCAAAACAGTGCCAGATATCACTGAAGCCATTGGCATATAACAATTTCTTCTTGCTTTGTTCGGGTTTTTCGAGGGAATTAATTGTATTACTGTTTCCGTGTCTGCTTAAATTTTATGTGATCAGCCTTAGTTTGCCTTCCTCCGATGTTTCTGTATAAATGCGCATTGTGTGGTGCAATCGTTTTATTTTCGCTGCCTAATGGTACTTCTACACAAGAAGCGGCGTCTTCATGTTTACATTTGTCATCGAAGTTTAACCCCTTTTCGAACACTCTGTTTCATTTGAGCCTAATGATTTTGTAGAGAAGCTGATAGTCGATTTTGTCCGTTTGCGTCAACTTCACTCTTCTTGCCTTGGTATTTTTCTTCCTTTTAGTTAGTTAGACTTTTCAATTCGAGTGTTGCTGGATTTGTTGTTAATAACTTACGGTGTACTGTTCGACTTGTCGTTTTTCATTTCATAATCCTCGTTACCTACCGCATTTTCGAGTCGTAAGTTTAACAGCAGTCAGACTTTTGATAATTCTGTGGAATTCCTTTTTAAAAAGAGTATTGATTCATCCTACTACTGCTTTCGTCTTGTTTTCCGCAAACAGAACATATTCAGACATTTAAGCGTGGAAGTTGGTGGACACTGTGGTATAATGTAATTCCATAGTACATAAGCTTATTTCAAATATGATACAGTGGTGCAGTATCAATAACTGCATAACGTTTTGAGCATAAATTACTGCTGGTAATCCTATCAATTCAGTCGTACAACCTCATCATCTATCTTCTATTCAAGCTTTCTCTCCAACTTCCCCTTGGGTGAATTCTTTTTCTTTAGTTGAGCATTTTCCTCCGTTAATTTGTTGAACTTTTCAATTTGAGTATTTTTAGATTTGTTAAATGCTATGGTCTTCCATATATCTATGTGTTAAAGTGTGATGATTTGCGAGTCGCAATTATGATTGTGTTAACCAACTCAGAGTACCCAATACCTGATCACACGGTTGCTGACATTACTCGTACCGTATTGTGATTAAAAAATTATCTCATGGACTTGGTAGACATAAATAGTGTTGCGGGTCGTATTTGTTAGATTTAAAAGGTGTGACGACTGGATCTATTTCACTGACATACGGAATGAGTTAGCTGTTGATAGGGTTTCGCTTGTTTGTCACATGATTTTAACCTTTAATTTTCATATTCTTAACTGTTTGTAGTCATACACTTCACACGAATGCAATATTCACGAGAAATTGATTTAGGAGTGATTATTGATGAACAAGAAGAGTTGTTCATTGGGCTTAAAAGGATGAGCGCAGGAAACCCAGATTAAATATCTGAGTTTCCTTTAGGCTACCTTTTTATAAAAAAATTACTTTAATTTTGTCGGATGACTCTGATTTGAAACTGTAAAAAATGAAGAAAGCCATAGTAAATTACAGAAAAAGTATGCATCTGATTTCCGGTCTTTTGGAATTCTTCCTAATTTGTTTTATATTCCAGATGGTAAAATTGTAATGGGGAGTTCGAAAGCTGGATGTGAAAAACAACAGAAAAAACATTTTCATTCACCTACTTCACATCAAAGATCTCCGAAACGTCGTGAAAAAGATAGGAATGATAGTGTCACAGCTTCGCGATCTCACCCTGAACGTTCGCGTAAAAGAAAAACGTCTTCACGACATTCTCATCGTACTCGTAGGAGTGAGTCATCTAATGATTCGTCAATACCTTCTGCCAAATCTTGCTCAAACTCCAACCATTCAAGCAGTAGAACATCTTCACATGGATCTAGTCGACATTCGGGTAGTCGAGGTGACTATGTTCGGTCACAAAAGTCACCTAAGAAATCACATCATTCTAAACATTCTCATCACAGAAGCCATCATTAGATTTTTCTAAAGCGCTTTGGTGTTTGATAAAAAAATGTTCATAGGTGAGGTTTCAGATAGGTAATTTCATCATGCGGTAAGTGACTCATTTTTTATGAGCATTTTGTGCATTATACATCACTTGTAGTTTTTATGAATTCACAGTATACACTAAAAAGATGAATTACTGTTATTATCCGTTCTTGTTACTTTATAAAATTTGTTGTGTTATGATATGTACACTTATGTTGGGATGAGGAATTATTATTATTATTGTATCCTTTAGTTCCTAGAGGAACATAAGGCTTCAGCTGCGCACCTCCATTGCCTACGGTTTTCTGACAACTTTTTCACCCTTATATATATATATTGGAGATGTAGATAGATCCGGTGCATAGCATGGTTTTTTAGTACAGTATTTTCATCATCAAATGCTTCATTCGATATACCGTCACCTTTCACTAAATTGTCTGTCTATGCAGTCTTGAAGCATGGTACATGGAACGGATGTAACTGTTATCCCGCCGTGACTTGTTTTCTTTCATTCTATACTATTTGGAACTGTTTTTCCTTTCGACTTTTTTTATTTTACATAACTTATTACTACTGCAAATTCATCTGACTATAGTCTATCGAGAAGAGCAGTGCCCGTACGCGGCCTAATCTCCCCATTACATTCAAATTTTTCATTGTTGCTACCTAGAATTCAGTAATGAAATTGAAATATACCCATATCATTTTAAGTTCGTAAGTTGTCCTTTATGTCTTTTCGAAAGTTTTACGTCTCCCTTTATCTTTACTTTCAGGTATGCCCATCTCCGCGTTCATAACGATCAAAATACTAATTTAATACTATTTTTCGTTTCAGTTCGTTCATTTGTACAAAAAGTTCATTTTTCTCATTTAAAGATAATTTACAATTACCTTCCAAGTTTAACTTCTTATTGATTTAAGAACTCCAATACCTCTAGATAAGTTATCTAAATCGAATTTAATGGTTTTCAATACCGATATAAAAAGTTGAATAAGCAAATAATTTATCATGTTAGTGTCTTGCATATGAACCTTATAATCCAACTCCAACCGTACCTTTCAAATGATTTTCTCTACTAATTAATTTCAAATTATCGGTCATATAATTCTAAGATCAATAGGAGGAACGAATTTTTTGTGCATTCTACCTCTGTTCACAACTGTGCATCTGCTACTAATTAAGTGATTCACTGGTGAAGGAAAAGAGCATCTCGAATAAACATTCGTCACAAATTGCGTCTTTACTGGTGGTTTCTATATCGAGTATGTGCTGAATACTGAGGGGCAAGTACTGTGAAACTAGGCAGTAGAGTACTTTGCATCCGCAGGTGGACGGTCGAAATATAAGTCCAGATAGTGTTAAAAATACTATATATCTGATATTCACATGTTACACAGTGCAGGACAGGTTTTTATAATAGTTTGTGCGAGCTCGTTACAAAGACAAAAATATCACTTGAGGACATCAAACTCATCTTCTTCAAAAGCTTTACGGGCACGTCGCAGTTCTTCACTAATAAGCAACAACTCCTTGACACGAGAGAACTTTTTTGAATCACGTCGGACAAGGTATGTGACATCTTCGACTGAGATTTTGCCCGGTCGACCAACTTTCAAAGCTTTTTGGTCTACAGTTAACAAAAAAGAATTATAAATACTTTGATGAAGTCTAGAACGATGTGTTGTTATTAGACATTGGGTAAAGGAGTAAACAGAAGCTTAAGTACAAAAAAAGCGAGAGACCATTAACTTAAGTTTACCACCTTTCCTTCTTGAAAAAGGAATTGAAATGAATCAGTTACACCATGTGAATTTGTGAACTCGTCTTACTTGATATTGTCAGATATGGTATGGACGTGTTCGAAAACAAATAAAGCGTCGGTGGCACGCTCGCCGATCATGCATGTGATCCGGGATTCGACCCCCTGCCGACGCACACCTGATATCTATGGTCGGCCTGCGAAATTTGGGCTACCGATATCCACGCTGAAAATTCCATACTTGTACCAAAAATACGGAATGGAATCAAGCTGTAATCAAAAATAAAAAAAATATTTATCCCAATTACTCGCTTTTCTAACCATCTTCTAATCCATGTTTAGTTTGAAGGACAGTGAATGCGTATTTTCTCGCTCTTCTTCCCAAACACGCTTTGATAATATGACTCAAACGACAGATGGTAGTGAAGAATATTTTATGGTTGATTTAGTGTTGAAAGTCCTAGCAGCAGAGAATAACGCTCTCCCTGTGCAGTTAACATGGTCATTCATACTAGTCGCAGAAACAAAAATAAGCACTCATATTTTAATGGTGTGCAGTAGCTAAATCCTTACCATTTCTAGAATATGGCGAACTGCAATATCTTCGACTAAAGACACAGTTTCAGGTAGTGGGTTCTCATCGTCACCAAAAGCGTACAGCATGGAACGTACTGTTGGGGAATTTTTGAAAAAGTAAGCATTAACTAAATCGTATTTTTTTTTTACTTTCACGAGTGAACATTCGTTTTTTTCCACGGTCGTACGTTGCATCTTGTTCTTCTTCATCTTCTAGAAGCTAAAAACAGAGTACATTTTAGTTCCAACAAACTGAAGACTTAGAAAAATTACTTTGATGGTAAGGCTGTTACGTCTGGGAAACTTCTGGTGACTATCCTGTTCAGAGGTGTTCAAATTCTCATTAAATGCACCTCACCATAATTACCTAATTATTATTTATTTAGTGATTATTGAGTACATGAAAAAGTCATCGTAAGAACTGAACTTATGTTAAGTATCAATCGAACACTGCTGGGTGATATTTCTAAACACATTCTAAATAAATTAACTGACTACTTGTCACCATAATGGCTTAAATATATTTTTTCTAAAGTCTTGCAGGTGTAAGCAGCAATTTGAACGCATTTAGAACGTAAAAGCTGTTTTGGGCATAGGCGCCAATATATAGTGTTGAGCCCATAACTGGTTAATACAGTAATAGTCCCAGTGACTATGTAGTTGGCTGTCAAAGTTCTAGATCTCTAAATCAAGGAATAGCAACATGAGCCAGTATTTGATGTAACGTTACAATATCACATCTAGTACATAATACAATAAACAACCAGACTGTATGCATTATAAATAGACCTTCGAAAAAAAAAACTTATATTCTACACAACGATGAGATAAACGGTAATACAGTAACTAACACTTGCAGTGAACTCCAGATCACCCATTCACCTGCAAAACAAGCAAAAGACATGAAATTAGATAACATCAATATACAACAAGTTGGGTACAGTATTATCACATTAGTCGTTACCAACTCTGCGTTTAAATGCGTAAGATGATATTCGTGAAACTTCGTCTAGCCAAAATCGCGTTAACAAAGAGATCAAAATTATTACTGAAATATTTGCAATGTACCTTCTGTAGTGATAATGACCAATCGAGCAAGTTAACAGTGCAGCAAAGACATTGTTATGTAATCAGTTGGGTTTTAGAACTTGTGTCTTTTAAATATTGTTTTCTTTGTACTCAGAAGGTGTTTGATGTTCAGTGGTTTCAAAATCTATGAATATTTCTGTTTTGAAGGTATTCAGTGTTCGAATTTTCCTTGAAACTTCATAGAAGAAATCGGCCTTGGGTAGCTACTTTAATTTATTATAGTAGTTGTCTTTCCAGTTCCTTACTTTATTCCAATGAACAAAAGTTCCCAAACAAAACAAATAAGACTAGCTTTTATTTTCACTAATAAAGCTCACTAGGAAAAAACGAATGTGATGAAATTGTAGAATTTCCAGTTTGTCTCGTTTCGCGATGAATATCGAAAAAATTTCTGAAACTTTACTATTCAGTTTTAATAAATACTATAAAGCACAACCAACGGCAGGTCGTGCTGCTTATCTAACAGAAATTGCGTATGCCCTAATTTACTACGAATCGCCAAAAAAGACTAAATTATTTCGGCAATACATACTATTCAACTGTAGCTTGATTGTCAGTGGTAAAATTACTAATTTCAACGTGGGCAATACTGATCCAAATCTTAAAAGGAGTAGATGCATCACCACAAATGACTGTAACAGTGCACACAATACAAATTGAAATATTTAGAAAACTTCAAGACTTCTGAATAATATTTTATTTCAAACTTTATTTTACACTAAATCACACATGAGCTAGAATTACATACGGCATCCTTTCAAAGGTATTAATTTCAGGCCAGTTCACATGTAATGTATGGTTTAGAGCAGAAGTACAATGCATGGATTTGGATGGATATGTGCAGGAAGATTTCTGACGTAATAAATACGTAAAGAAATCGAATTTCGTGCTGCAACGCCATAAATATTTGTTTTCAATCAGTTCATATTGATAATTATGAGAAGTAAACGATAGTTTAACCAGTTACAGGCATTAGTGTCATGGTATAATCACGAAGATGAAAAACACTTATTTTTATAGCTGTAATTAGATTATAAAGTTATGGAAAGATGTCCAAGAGAACGAAGAAAGAATGAGATGAGAGAAGAAAACCAACTACTAATGCTGACATTGAAAACAAGTGGAGACAATCATAAAAATAATACTAGTAGTTTTAGCTGAATTTAAAATTTGGAAATACAAAACAGACGGATGCTAAAATAAAGCGAAGTACAACTTATTAACCGGTAACAAGCAAACAACATTTATTGTTCAGGATCACAAATGAAGAAACAACACAAGGCATTCAATCCTAGAATGGATAGCAAAGGCACGAAAGTATCTACAGGAAAAATTATCAGTATGAGGCGTCCTTACAAAGGGAATGAAGCAGAAAAAGCCAGAAGATTCTGTGTGTTAGATAGCATATATTAACTGCACAGTTTACTCATGACTTCAGGTACCTAGAAAAAAAATTTCAAGAAAATGATTTTGTAAAATAAAAAAATGATCAAGCTCAAGTACGATATAAGTCATATAATTCTCAATCGAGTGTGCTATATTATAGTATCTAACGATCGTTCAATAACATCCTCGTGACCTATGTTCTGACTTTCAAATGACCATCTCGTAATTACTTGATAATCATTGTCGAAATTTGGATGTTATTTTGAAACATATTGCAGTTGTACAACTTGGCAGTATGCAACTCAACCTTATAATTGGCATTACGTTGCAACGTACTGGAAATATTATGAAATAGTGTAGCATGTACTCAGAAAACATTACAATGAAGACAAAACATTACTCGACATGTTAGTACCTCATCTGAAACATAGTCATATTCTGTTGAGTCACGTACTCAAAAGAAAATCACGTGAAGTATTACTACTCTGCTTCTATGGAGTGATTTTACTGAGACGATAGATCTGCGTATGATTTAGTTGTAGTGATGAGTAGGTTTTAGTGTCTTTTATTCAAAGGGCCTAATGTAAGTAATATTCGGTGCAAATTTTCTAAGATTTTAAGGGTAATACTACTTCACCATTTAACACAGCGCCTAAGTCTTTACGACCTTCAGGTAAGCCTAAAGCAAAATAAAATCAAACACTATGTGTTCTAACTTGTCGATAGTCGCTATAGGAAAATATTAAGGTTTTGTTTGAAATTCCAAATACTTCTGTGACAACGTCAAATTATATTTAGTACATACTTAGCTGCCCAGTCAGTCCTGGAACTTGGATTTGAATGAAACGCAGGAGCAGCTCCTCTTGCTGACGTCTTTGAATGGTCGGTTCTATTTCCCGATGAAAATCCTGCTCCCGACACGTTCACATAACTGCGAAAGTGACCAACTTCTTGAGCCCCAGTGTTATCGATTCCAGAACTAACAAACTTCTTTTCACCTAAACACAAAGTATAAAACAGTAGTTCTGTGAGTGGAATACTCTAGAGAGTAATGCAATATAGGATAAAGCGTCGTCGCCTGACTCCAGGGTGTTTTTGACGTTTGGAAAGTATGTCTGTTGCCGAGCTGAACTAGCAAGTACCGTAATTTGTTTGTTTTAAAATACCTATGCTATATCAGTGTCAACAGCATAATAAATTAGCTGAATTAGCATTTGAAAGACTACTCTGTAATGTTCAACATACTAAACAGTTTTTAATGTACTACTAAATGAACAAATTTTTCATTATATAGCTGGTTTATTAACAGAAAATGTGAACGATTCACACTAGTTTTCGAGTGGTGATCGATTTATAACTTCAACCTAATGAGCTGACTGTGTTCCTTTATATTCATAGACTGCTTAGGCGACTGGAATAAGATAACCTTACATGATAATGCTAACAAATACCAACCATCAAAGAGTTTACAATGGGATACAAATCTAGTTCGATCATTTTGATGTGGTTTTGTTCTCTGAGCTGGATAGTTAGTTTGCGAAGCTTTCATCACCTTGCTGGGTGACATCTTCAGCGCATACTTCAAATTGAAGTGAGCTTTTAGGTTTCTCCACGAGTTTATTAATCATTCCTCCTGGTGACCTTGGACGGGATTGGTTGTTTATGTATGTTTTCACACCTTCTAGGTTACTTGTGTTGGAACTGATTGTTTCTGTGACTTGAACTTTGGCCAATCGTGTGTGAAGTTTCTTTCTTATTGGTTGATAAATTTTGTCTATCTCGATGTGTCTATTGATTGATGATTCACTGGAATGCCAAGCTTCTAAAAATTCTCTAGCATTCTTGTTATTTCCTTTGTCTAATATTTGAACGTTGTCCCAGTCGAATTGATGTCCGTAGTTGTCTGTGTGTAGTGAAATGAGGGAGTGGATATCATGTCTTTTGACGGCTAGCTTATGTTCGTGGATTCGAAGACGAAGGGGACGTCCACTTTGGCCGATGTAGTGTTTTTCGCAGTTGTTACAGTTTATTTTGTAGATGATGTTGGTTTTGTCTTCTTTCGCTGTTGAGTCTTTTGGTTGACATAGAATTGAGTGCAGGGACTTTGTTGGTTTGTGTACGACGTCAATTCCACATCAAAATTATCCACCTGAGCTACAAATCTTCTCTATCATATCTAGTTCGATCAGCAAGTATGAGCGACAGGTTTCTCACATCGCAGTTATAACTCAGAATGCCTCAAATAAAACTCCAGTGCTAAACTGGAATATCAGAGCACAGCATTCTATACAAAGTTGCCGTTACCAATAGCGCCCTGACATCGGCTACACAGATCGATGATGTCTTAGATGAAGGAATGTATTTGGATACCGATACAAATCTACAGGCCTGTAACAAATAGTTTAGAGAGTCCATGAGTCTGAATACTCAACGTAGAACTTGACACAAAAAGGTTACAGTTCTTCGAATGGCCTCACTTCGTAAGAGCACATAAAGAGAAGAAATGCAACCATAATAAACGGGAATTTCCGAGGGAAAGCATAATTGCGTGTAGAATAATTAGTTAATGGATTTATTATGATTACGAACAAGCAACGTATCCACTCCGTTGACATAGGTCTTTTGGAATGTTGTCAACAGTCTCTGGGTGTTTCGTGGAACCAAGACAGGTAGTTTGCACCACTCTACGTGGTTCAAACCAGTACTTCATCCGTTGATAATATTTACCCACTGACCACCTCTAACTCTGTCTAAATTTGACCTTACATCAATTACATTACTCATTGTGGAAGGCGATAGCCTGGCTTGTCAGTCATCTTAACCGATGCAACTTCACTACCTTATCGGCTTTCTTTCTTCCTTATTTAACAATCCACCCCATGCCTCAGTATTACTGACCATATTGTACCATCTAACACAGGAGACAGAATTCAAACACCTATAGCGAATAAGCCTGCTCAACATATCCTACATCGTCAAACATTACCACGAGACTCAAATTACTTTTTAGGTAGATAAATATAACACGTGTTGGACGCCAGTTAATCATTACTAACTAACAGTCATTAATACTGTTTCTACAACTGACTATTCAGGATGGGTAATTCCTTTTAATCTAACTACTATTCGATCACGACACAGTTTATGGAGGATATGTCGTAGCAAACCGATGTGTTTTGTTTCGATAAAATCAAAAAAAAGCACGGGGAAATTGAATGTCAGCTTGATTCTGAAAGCTGGCGGAAGAAATCGGAGAATACGGTATAGAAATGCTAGGAAAATGTGAATGCAGAAGGAATAGAGGAGGACTTTCCGCATAGTTGACTGAATAATCAATTGTCTACTCCGGTCGCCCAAATGACACCGAGCGAGCGGCTATCATGATGTCAATACTAGTACCCAAAGTTCTTATACAAAGAAAACCAACCTCCGCCAGGATAATGGCAGCAGGACTTAGATCGAACGAAAGGAAAATTGCAATTATCTAATGCTACGCTTTTACAACTCAGATCGAGTGGAGAAGAGAGAGGACATTTACATATAACTGCAAATAATTATGAGCAAGACTCCAAATGACGAAATCAAAATCGTAATATGTGATGTGAATACTAAACTGAGAGTACGGTGGAGACAACGCAGGAGGAGAAGTGATTATACATCAGGAGGTTCATGGCAAAATCTACGAAAACGGAAAACTCTCTCCTGACTTCTTCGCCTACAGTGATTTAGTGATTCGAGGCAGCGTGAAACAATAGAATGATATACACAGGGCGATATTGGTTTCACCCGATGGATATACCAAAAATCGGATAGATGTCAGCTCAGTCTCACGATATCGGAGACGCAGTTTGATGGATACAAAATCTAGAAAAGGAGCAGATGCAGGCCCAAGCGATAATCTATTGCAATGAACAGTCAAATTTGAAGGCCTTCAAAGAAGCTGGACGTCCAGGTTCAACATTCAGAAACTACGACTGACACATTCACAACAGTTAAGAGAACACAATCGAAGAAATGTAGCATCACTGAGGAAACAGGAAATCTCTAGAAGTGATGTCGAGGAAAACATTAAAACCATTTTAAGGAAAGAGACACAAGACTAAGAATGGCATTCTACGGGAGCTTTAAAGCTACTAGAGAATGGGATGGTGAAATAAATGTGAACAAGTGCAAAGATGGAGAATAAAACGAAGAGCAAAGTTCAATGTACTGAAGAAAAAGTGAAGAGTGTTAAGAAAGACAAAACATGATTTCACAACACACTGGTCGGCAACTGGAGCAGAACAGGCTGCCGGTAAGAGGGACCTCAGAACACTATACCAGATAACCAGGTCACTATTTGTGAAGAGATTTATATGGGTGTGACCAATCAAAGATAGTGAAGGGAAACCAATTAGCAAAGAGGAGAAGCAGAGTAACAGCAAAAGACCCTCTAACAGATAGTCACCTGTACCTCGTCCAGAAATACCACCGAGAGCAACAGAGCCGCCAGTGAAAACAGATCCCCCGGCAAAAGAAGTGTTAAATGCCATTAAGTTATTGAAAGGCAGCAGGACCTCAAGGAATTCCTCCGAAATCATTGAAAACGCATCGATAGACGTCAGATATTCCAATACCACTACGGCAAATAACTTGGAAAAAAATAATGGTACCAACCGGTTGGGATAAAGGCTACCCTGTCAAACTACTGAAGAAAGGCTCTTTAAGCCTTTCCGAAAACTGGCTAGGAATTCTGCTCCTGTCCACCCCAAACAGAATATTAAGTCGTGGCATCATGTGGAGGCTAAATTACTTTCTGGATGTAAAACTCTGGTCGGAACAAGCAATATTCAGGAAAAGCAAATCATATGTTGATCAAACAGCAACTCTACGCATCATCATCGAATTAAGCATATAATGGCGGTCAAGCCACCACCTTAACTTCATCGACTTCCAAAAGACCGACAGCATTGACTGTTTAGTAATTTGGAAACTGCTTCAACATTTCGGAGTGACCCAAACCTTTATCAACTTCACTCAAAAGCCACATGATGATAATGCAAAATGCCAAGTGCTTCACAATGAACGGCTCAATAAAGTCTTCAAAGTGGAACTAGGAATAAGGTAAGTCTGACTACTATATTCTATGATGTACCTTATTATGGCGAACTGGATCATGCTACAGAGAGTGGGGAGCAAAGAGACAGAAACATGTTGGGTCTAAAAGAAGACTATAAGAAATTTGGACTTCGAGGAATACTTATGTTTAGTGTCACATAGACTCTAACGTCTACAGGACTTCAAGTGAACGATACGGATACGCAGGTGATGAAGATGCTTAACGACCGAAAACAACAACAGCAAGCCATTATTACTTTGGACGGAAGAAATTTGAACCAAGCCACTTCTTTTACTTAACTGTATTAATTACAGTCGGTACGATTGAGCATATCAAAGCGATATATATCTTCAACAAAATTATATCGAATAGGCTTTACACTTTGATCAACAGCTACATTCTCTCCATACTTAAGAACACATAGCCGAAAAGGATAAGCAATAGGGAACTCTGGCAACGGACCGAACAACCAACCAAGAACCCAACTCACAACAAATATGCCGAAGGAAATGCAGATGGATGCGATATAAGCTGAGAAAACCGCTGAGTGACATCAAGCACCGGGACTTTGACAGGGACGTGGATGGCAAACGGTGAGTTGGGCGTCCCAAGGAGATATGGATTGGAATCATGTGAGGAAGAGGTAAGAACTTATGGTCACTCGTGGAATCAGCTAAAGAGTACCGCACACAATAAGAGGTCAATCGCGAGCCCGAACAGCTCAGCGGTAACGTCTCTGACTGGTGACGCGTGTTCGAATCTCAAAAGGGATATGAGTTCCTTCAAGGTTGCAGACACGTCTTGCTGATGTGTGCCAACCAGCACGAAACCTAGGTCCGAGGCCTTTTGCCGACTGCCTTCAACTACCTAATATCACCAAAGTACAGATGTGTTGCTGAAGCACCACTCGGAACCCAAGGGAACCATAATAAAAATATGGCTACAAATGACTCATTTTGTTTTCAGTCTTGCCTAAGAGTGAAATAAATAAAGCAAAAAAGACATTACCCAACGACTTTTAAAGTTGAAATTTTTCAGTATTTCGTCAAATCTGTGGGCAACGGTTTACAATCCACTTGTGCTGGATAATTTAACCTTAATACATCAAAAGCGTATCAGTGGTGATCAGACATTTGTGGGTTGTGACAGTCAAGTTATTCAGCGTTTAGTGAAAATACGACAAATACAATTACATACTGAACAAGAATCGAAAAGCAGAAGACTACTGAGAGTAGATGTAGGCAGTGGTGTCTTTTGAAGCGCATAGGGTTCGTGGAATCTGATGATGTGACCGTGCTACTTTGAAATGGCGAGTGAGTTGTCGTTTTGGATTTTTGAATTTTGTGGAGTGCACCCCCACCCAGATGATGTCTACTGACGATCTTTCGACTGGTGAATAAGTCTTGATCTTTGAAGGGGAATTTGAGTCGGGAAGATTTTTGAAGGAATATGAATTGGAAATGAGGATGGATTGGCTTGTTGGATGGTGTTGTAGTGATGCTTTTGAATTTGGTTATCATCAAATGGATGGGGAGGTGTAACTGTGGGATTAATGAGTTCGAGCGTTGGAGTGATGGAGCGTGTTTCCAAGGTGTTGGTGTTTTTCGTGGACGTGAGAGTGATTAGTAGGGGATTTCTGATGTGCGGATGCCCGGCGCTCTTCACCGGGTTGACTGTCCATTGGATGACAGTCTAGGAGAGATGGCTAGACCCTGATTCCAAACCTCCAACGACTGGCGTATGAAGCTCACCGGCAGACGTATGGACAAAGGGCTTATTGGATGCCCTGGATGTCTGGCTCCATTCAAAAAAGCGTATGAACCGGCTGCCAATTGATAGTGGAATCCCTACTCCACTCCTACTGCCTTGTAGGTCACACTTGGTTGTGTAAAGGCTAGAGCTGCACTCTCAAACAAAAGGCCGAGCGATGGTGGGGACATCACTCGTACCTAATTCCCATGAAACTTCATGAACTCATGTTCATGAAGCCCGCTCATCCTCCCGTGGGAGATAGCCGAAGTAAAGTAAGTATTGAGATAAGAGAATATCAATAGAATGTGAGAATATACTGAACAGCAATCTACCAAGGCACAAAAATCGGGTATATCGTATCTTATTCAGTTTCTTATTCAATCCAATACTATGAATCATTATTGCAGTATGCTTGAGATGGAAATTCATTTTCAGTCTATTACTTTGCAGATAAAACATCAGTGACTTGGAATGAGAAAACTTTGTGAATGCTAAGGAAAATGTAGCAGTGGAGTTATAGCTATAATTAGCTTATCAAGCACAAAGTAATAACGTCTGACGATGAAAGCATACTTGAATCACTACAATTACTAAAATTCCAGTGTGTTTTAAAAGCTAACAATCCATTTTCCATAAACAAAATAGTTGGCAGTTAGTTTATTATTCTATCAATTTGGATTTTTTTACCAGAACGACAAAAGTTTCATATTGATTATTCGAACAAAAATTTCACCGATTTCAATGTTTCAATGATGAAATTCAAATTTAAACCTCTCTCAACATTTTACATTCAGAGCATTGTCAATGCATACTTTTCTCTCAAATAAGTGATGTGATTCTTGAGCTTTTTTTCTACACACCTTTCTGATTTGATCGCAGAGTTATGTAACATTCATTTTTGTTGGTTTGATGATTGCCATTAATCAATATGGGTTAAGAAGTGTGAGGAAAATAATTTTTTCAAAGGCAGGCTTTCGCTAATGAAGATAAATGAATAATGTGCGGAACTAGTAAATGTGAGAATTAATAAACATTCGCATAAAAGGTAAAAAGGTAAGTGAAACTTACGTGTATTATTTACATAAGAATATAGTGGGTTTTCTAAAAACGGTTGCATTGAGGGACAGTTTTCTTTGTGACTGTCAGTTTGATGCAGTAATGAGGTGTCTGTGACTAGTGGGTTTGTCGACTGTTTAGGCTTATTAGTATGTCCTGGAAAATAACGTGCCTTGGACTTATAAAAAGATGCCGCCGATGTTATGCCTCCAGGGTTGGTATTTGATGGTACAAAGGGATTAGTTGGAGCAAATGTCTTTGTAATTGTAATAGAACTGTAATATTCAAATAAATTATTTGACAGTGAACTATTGAATACAAATCAATAAAAACATGTTCGAGTGAAAAAGAAAGCAAATAAAGAGTTGACCAGTGGATAACAGGAATAAACGAAAACAGAAACACAACTTAGATATTGCAGTATACTCTACCTTCTTGCACTACGCTTAGATGAACACTGAGACCATGATTTAATCTTTCCACTGTTACATAACAACAAAGTTAAAAAGAAGATAAACATAAAAATATTTACCTATTACTTTTGTACACTAAACTTTTTATGATGATTGAATTCAATATTTGTAAGACTATAATGAGAAAGTTCAATGTTATAATGCTTCTGATGATACCATTCGTCTTTTATTTCTGTTAGTCCACAATGATATACTACTTAGAATTAATACAACAATTTAGCTTCATATAGGAACAAAAATTCCTCAAATTGTGACTATTAGACACAAAACACTACTTACAGAATATTGCATGTGAAGTCAGAAGCATGAGTAGTTTTGAGAAACGAGAAATCTTATAAGCACACACAGACGATATGAGTTAAACTTATATTGCATTTGTGAGTTCTTTAATTTCTCCATAATCAGATCAGTAAGTTTGAACTCGGTTATCGCGAACAAATTCTCCATGTATCATGCTGCGAGCCATAATTATTGTGTGAGAGCTGCGATCCACATTAAAGTGAGTGAGGCGGGATTCGAACCTTCAGACCGATTAACTGAAAATCGAACGCTTAAGTCGATAATTCTCATATGCAAAGTCTATAAAGTATGATGTATTTTGTCATTTTTAACAAAAGCGGATGGTTAAGAATGGTAGTATCTCTGTGGTAATAGCAGTCTTGAGAAACACAGAAGATATGTCAACAATCCGCGGGATTTCCTGCCACCAGAATTATCCATATATGTGACTGTAAGTTATCTGGTTGCAAAAGTCGTGATGTTATAATACTGACAGTTTAAGATTATCTATAAAACTTCAAAATCGACTGTATCTATTCGCTTTTGATCACTTGGGAAACTCTAGCATTTACAACTGAACTTGCACTAAACTTGAAACATTTACCTTATTCTCCTCAGTCACTTGTAAGATAATTTCATTCAATTGAGTTGGCATAGGTAGCAAGTGAAACGTCTATATGAGTAAATCTGCTCAAACCTCTCTGTTGTTGTAAAAACAGAGTATAGTATACGATTTCTTGCAATAAGTAACAGGGTTTTTTTTACTAAGTCCGAGTACATCTTGTTGTTTTTGTAAATCCCATGGTGATATCATACTTCTAGGTAGTAATATATTAAATTCTCTGACTGTTGGATATTCTTTTACAATAAACTCGTGAAAACAATAGTTGGAGTAGCATCACATTAAAAGAAACCTACAAGCGATCCGACTAAGATAAGATAGTATTTATCAATATATATCCCCTGTTGTTATACCTTTATCTTTTTAAACTAGTCTTCCTTCTCCTTTTGTACAATGAATAAGATGTTATTCGACAGTAGGCTTCTAAATATCATGACGTCACGTACATAGCCATCGTAACTAACCACAAATGTATCAAAACGCATGGCAAAATGAGAAGTAGGAGGGAATGGTAGAAAAGTTCACTATTTGAGGATCACAGTATTCAATGCGAATAGCACTTCTGAATTGTAATATTATTTATCTGCACATTTAAGGTTTAAGCAAGACAAAATCATTTCCAGCTTTGACGCAGGAAACTTACTCCAAAAGATCATCAATGTCTATAGAGTCTCTTTTCCGTGTGCTGCTAGTATTCCGCGTACGAGTGGGAAACCGGGAACCATATCGTTGTTTCGCTTGTCTTGACAGATTACAGTCACTTAGAACTGGTGGAAGAGATTGATATTGTCTAATAAGCTTAGCTGTGGATATTGGAATCTTGTTTAATGGTGATATCTCCTTTTGGTTAAGCAAAGTATGTGTATGATTGTGGTTTCGCTGTTCAGAAGACAACAGAAAGGAAATTTCGGTTTAAATAAATAAATAACTACATCACAGTCACAAGTTAATGAACATTGATTAAATATATTTATTCACACTGATAGATAAGAATTCTGCAATTATAGGAGATAATGAATTGCACTGCCAGTTTACAGTCTTATTTGATATATCAACAACGAAAATATAAAACAATGCATATAACTTGAACAGATGCAAACAGCCAAGAAGTAAAAGTTTAAAGACAAGAGCACTTACCACAACCAAACCCTTGTTTATTTTCAGAATACTGCATGTAATAATAGCACAAAAGTGAATATTTCGGCATTCTTATTACTTCTGAAGATTACCTTCCTTATTTCCATCTTATTTTGTGCGTTATGTATAAGCTGATGTAACCTCGCCTAGTTAAATAGCCTGCTAGTTTTCTTGCCGATACCAAGTCTGGGAAGATAGGGAGGGTTGGGCAAACAGCTAGCAGCCCTACACTACTAAACTTATCAAACCGCCAGCCGATGTGTATTCTCTCGATGAAAGCAAGAATAAGAATAGGGACGTGAAATGTACGTACAATGTACGAAGCCAGTTCGGAAGGCTGTCCAGGTAGCCAACGAAATGCGAAGACATGGCCTAGAAGTGCTCGGAATCTGCGAGAGCAGATGGAATGGATGTGGATTATCGAAATCGTCAACTGGTGAGTCAATAATCTACCCCAACCTGGTCACCCAGAAGAAAACCACGAGCACACTGAGGCACTGAGGGGCTATCATGATATCACCAACAGCAACCAAAGTTCTAATGCAGTGGGAGCCAATCTCATCCAGGATTAAGGCAGCAAGATTCAACTCAATTGGAAGGAAGGTAACAGTCATCCAATGCTACGCACACTGCTATGGACAATTCGGAACAAGAGAAAAGGGGGATTTCTATACACAACCACAAACAGTAATGGACAACAATCCGTATATAGACATCAAAATTCTTATGGGAGACATGAATGCCAACCGAACTGGGAAGAAAACTCAACACTGGTCGGCAGACTCTCTCAGCGAAAACAATGACAACGGAGAATTCTCCGCAGACCTCTGCGCTTTCAATGATTTGGTCGCTGGGGGCAGCGTGTACAAACACAAGGATATACACAGAGCAACACGGATTTCACTTGACAGACATACTACAAACCAGATAGACTGCATCGCAATATTGCTCAAGTAAGTGGAGATGCCGCCTGTTGGACACAAAGTGCAGAAGGTGAGCAGATGTGGGCTTAGGCCATCACCTAGTTCAATGAGCCTTCAAGGTGAAGCTGAAATCTCTGAAAACAACTGGAGACGGGCTGTTGTATTCAAGTTCAACGTTCGGAAACCGAAAGACGCAACCACAAAAGAAGATATCTTTACTGCAGCTATTGGAGCAGAGTCGGAGACACTATGTGGCATCACCGAGGAAACTTGCGTGGAAGAACATTGGAACTAACTCTCTGAAGGTGATATTCAAGGAAACGTGTAAAACTTTTCTAGGAAGAAAAATGAGACAAGACAAGGAATAGCTGTCAACGGGCATCTGGAAGCTAATAGAAGAGAGCAGAGGAAGATGGTGAAAGACATGATTCAATGTAAAGATGGACAAGAGAAGGAGAGGATAAGTTCAATGTATACTGCACTGAATAAATAAGCGAAGAAAAGTGCTAGGAAAGACAAAAGACAATTCAACGACGCATTGGCAACTGAAGCAGAACAGGCAGGCTGCAGGCAAAAGAAATTTCAGGTAGCTATATCAAATAACCAGGTCTCTATCCGGAAAAAGATCAACCCAGATGATACAACCAATAAACGATGCTCAAGGAAACCAGATTACCAAGGAGGAGAAACTAATTAGACAATTGGCTGATCACTTTAAAGGACTCTTGAAGCGACCATCACCTGTAACTTGTCCAGAAATATCATCACGCAAAGAACTGCCTACCAGTCGACACCAATCCTCCAACCAAAGCGGAAATTCTGAATGCGATCAAGCTACTGAATTCCAGAAAGGCAATAAGGCCAGACGGAATTTCCCCTGCTCCCGAAGCACTGAAAACGGAGCCAAAAACTGCGGCGGATGTTCTTATGGCATTATTACAAAAGGTTTGGAACGAAGTGAAGGTGCCTACTGACTGGAGGAAAGACTCCCTTGTCAAACTGCCAAAAAAGGGCGACCCAGGCCTGTGCAAGAACTGGCGTGGAATAATGTTCTTGTCCACGCCAAGTAAAATACTAAGTCGGACCATCCATGAAAAATTAAAAGATGCACTGGATACAGAACTCCGCCTGGAACAAGCTGGATTCAGAAATAGCAAATCACCTGCTGATCTAATTGCAACCCTACGCATCTTCATCACAGAACAAAGCATAGAATGGAAGTTAAACTTCTCCCTACCTCAACTTCATAGGCTTTAAAAAGGCCTCCACCATACAATGTTGACAGAGAAATAATTTGGAAACTACTTTAACACTGCGGCTTTCCTCAAGTCTTTGTCAACCTCATTGAACAGCTATATGACAGTGCCAGGTGTCAAGTGGTCCGCAACGGAAAACACACTCAGCGAGGCGTTTTAGATGAATCCAGGAATGAGACAAGGCCACTGCATATCATCACCAATGATGTTCTTAACTGTGGTGGACTGGATTATGCATCAGACTATGGGGAGCGAGGAGACAGGAGTACGCTGAACTACCAATGAGAAGACTCTAGATCTGGATTTCGCAGATGATATTTGTCTAATGTCACACAAACTCGAGGACTTACAGGCTAAAACCAACAAACTGGCTGAATAATCTGCAAATACAGGACTCCAGATGAACGTAGAGGAGACGGAGGTGATGAACATAACCAACCAACATCATCCAAAACAACAAGTAGTAGTCACTATCAACGGGAAGGATTTGTTTGAGGTCACCTCCTTCACTTATCTATCTGTGAAGCATCGTCTCAACAACAGGCGAAGCGGGTGAGGGTTTCACAGCCAGCCAGAATTCGAAAGGCAAGTTACGCCTTGGAAATCTTCTGCACTCAACGTAAAGAACAAGATTCAGACTTGCAACACTAATGTCAAGTCGGTCCTTCTATACGGGTCAGAAACTTGGAGTGTCACGGAATGGATTTCTACCAGGCAACTGCAAACTTTCATCAAAATTTGCCTTCGCCGGCTCCATACTGAAGATCAAATAGCCAGCCAGAAAGAATAAGAAACAAGAAACTGTGGAAACAAACCAACCAGGATCCGACACCTCAACAAATATGTGGGGGGAAATGGAGACATATCATTCATACATTGAGGAGATCGTCGAATGACATCGCTTGTCAGGCCACCATTCGAGTGGAATCCCAATGGGAAGCGACGAGTGGGTCGTCAGTGCAAGGGTAACATGGAGGAGATGGTGTGAGGAGGAGATGAGAGATTGTGGGCAACCGCGGTCCAAGCTGAAGAGGACGGTAGGGGATAGGAGAAATTGGAGATGTGTTGTTGAAGTCGTATGTTCCACTCAAAACTCAAGGGAATAATAATAATAATAATATAAGCTGATATGGTCTCAGAAAACAGTAATTCAGCCCAATGCTACTTCAGTGACGATACATTGCGGCATTGGATTCCATTTGACAGTCGCATTCACACTGTTGCCCTAGACGGTAATGTTAGGGTTAAGTAGGATTACGTCAGTGTCTACATACCCAATATGTAAAGGGTGAGATTCTATCAGGACCTGTGCAATTTCGTATAAAAATTCGAATATGATTCTTCTGCGTGGGATTTTTGATGTGGATAAGAAGGAGTAAGCATGAAGTAAATCTCTTTGAAGATACTGGCAGTGTATCCACCCAGTGAACACATAAGAGGACTGCAGTGTAATTCAGATAAATGTTTCTGCCTATCTACTACTAATATCATACACCGAAGCACGCGTTACTCCATCCTGTGTATTGCATAGCAATGGGTTCTGTTTCACTACATGGCTGAAAAACATTGTTACTGTAGGTAAACCATGTTTGACAATCACTACATTTGTAGCATTACCTGCAACGAAACAACTTAAACATGTTTCTTAAGTCTAATGTTTAACTTAGAACTGATACAGTCAAAAATCATTGCTCCACAATAATTACTTGGTAATGATTTGCTTACAAGCTCGACTATATGCAAAAAGCATTGGAAGCGGGAATCATTTAATTCTATTAGACAAGCTTTTCGTGTCATGGATCCTATACGATAGGCATATTCAATGTGCGGTGAAGTTGCTGGACTATCCTTTACTGGGACTGGATGACGACAGGGCGAAAAATAAAACGATTTGAACGTGAGCAACGGCGTACATGTGAGTGGGAAGTATGAACATAAATGAAATTTGGCCAACCAAAATACCAAAACACATCTTTAAAAAATGACTCAAAATTTGGTGTGTTTTTTTTTTGTTCTGTAACAGGCCCATTTCTCAAAAGTAAAATTTTGATAGCTAAATAGAAATATTTTTAGTTCAGTTAACTACGTCATACAACAGAGTGATGAGTGAAAACTGTGCACGGAAAGCCATGTCGAAAAATATGCTATAATGCTGTGCGCATCATCAGAAACACGTCTTAAGTGGAACCTGATTAGCAGTTATGCAGTAAATTAACACATCATAGTGTGTAGTAACCCTTATAAGCATCCATTAGTGATGCGAAATATCACATTTAGACTTCTAGAGATAACTAGAAGTATTTTGACTACAGGTGAAAGACAAGTATATCACCATCACCAGCAGAAACGCACACTGATTTGATTTGAACACTATTCCGTTTAGTTAGAGTATAAAATGAATAATGAAACATAATTACCTCATCAGTTGGTGCAATCATTTTCTTCGATGGCGGTTTTAAATCTACATGATCACAAACAGGCTTTTCCAATAAATCATCAGTTTCTAGAACTGGCCAACGTCGACGCGCTGACTTTTTAGTTTTCAGTAGTAATGGTTCCTTGACAAAAAAGAGAAGCACCACATGCCGGATAACAGATTGAGGAATGTTTGAAAAATACATGAAGAAATTTGTGTAGTATAATGAAATATACAAGTATAAATATAGGCGCCTTTAAACTGTGTTACGTAGGTGAAACTGAATTCTGAAGACACATCATCAGTACTTATTGTTTATAATACCCATAGTTTCCGATTTTCGTCGCATTGAATGTGAGACTCACAAGTCAAATAATGATTGAACTGCTGTTGACACACGTAAAACAGAAGTATTTAGTAAACATCAGGAGTTAGATAGTATAAAGATAGATCCTATATACTAAGATTAGACATAGTATACTGTTTTCTGCTTCGGGTCTAAAACGAGGAATTAAATATGTACGCAACTAGGGGTGACTTCTGGCTTCAGTATGCAGAGAATGATATGAACAGTGGGGAAAGATAAGATTTGATGAAAGGGAACAGTTGAAAAAGAGTAAGAGTTTGTGTACTGATTGAAAAACTTATGTTGCAGGTACTTCGCTACTGACACCGTCGAATACTATTTCTTCTTGCAGTATCCAAGAGAGAAAAGAATTAGTTCGGTGTAACACCAGGGCTAAGGGGAATTCTACTTGATGCTGGTTACACATGACATCCAAGGATGAATTCTGTGAGATTTGTGTAGTACGAACAAATGGTATGGTACACTACGGGTAATAACTGGTATATAGAGATTTACAGTCCTTGATTCACGCTTTTTCTGCTTCTTTCCCCTCTAAGATGGGAAGACAAAATAGGTGTTTTTTCCGTTATCTCTACATCCTTCTCAGTAAACGGTGTGACTGTGTAACCTATTTTATTTTATTAGTATACACTAAATTTCGTCCTAATAGACATTATTTTCGTCCTCACCAGTCTTGTCCACTTCAGTACCTAAAATACAAAGCAGATTCTCTTGAATACAATAAAATCTCAAGGGAAAATCGAATGGGCTAGTTACTAAGGAAACGTAGAATCCTAAAATATAAGTTTACACAGAGTCATGAAGGAATGTGGATGATGTCAACTCACCGTTTTGGGATTTTGAAATAAATCAGTACGGATATTATTTGATTCAATGGTAAAACTGGTATCTAGGTCTTGCCTATCAGTTGAATTGTTTAAAATGAAGTCACAAAATGCTTCAATTTTATTTTCAACATTACCATTATGTAAACCAATATTCTCAACCTTTTCGGCTAATGATGGAAGTAGACTTGGTAAAGGATCTTCTAGCTTCAGAACAGGGTCTGTTGGAGCCCCTTTCTTACCTGAAACGTAAAATGTAAGTAAGTATTTGAAATGTCTTATGAATGAAAGTAATAAAATAGAATACATAAGGAATGGAAAAGAAAGCCACTGGTAGTATAGGTAATTAGTGTCATTTACAGCAAGGTCAATAATAACACAGACAGAAAGCAGTGATTACATGAAGAGATTAGAACGATACTTTGCGAAGGTGAGTGAAAAATTTCAGAAAAAAATAAATACACACATCTAGAATTACTTGGCAAAAGTTAAATCTGATAAAAGAGCACGGAACAGTTACGCTTTCCAATCATTCAAATACACTGATAATGCGTCGAAAGTGCTAACCATGGGCATTGTTTTTTATCTTTTGATCACCAACCAGAATGCCAGAGAGAAAGAGAAAAAAAACTGCACACTTCCTAATATATCTAAGATTTAGTCAAGCTTTTCGAATGCATAGTCAATCACAATCATTTCTGGAAGTCAGAAAAGTCGAAACTACGCAACACAAGCTGACTTCTATTAAATGTTGCAATACACAATTAACAAACACATATCATATGTTGAAATGTCATGTATCTCAGAAATGTAAACCACAAATGTTGTGAATTTTTCTTATAATACGTATCTAATCATATTCATATCTCTACCGCTATTAACACTCTTTTTTCCTTTATATGTTTAAGCCATTCCGGCTTCATTGTAAAATGAATAAAGCCTAAATTCTTGGTTCATTCGTCTTTTCAAGATTCAAGCATCACTCATCGTTCTAAGACTCAATCACCTTCGTAACAATTTATTCATTTTACAATATTCATGGAACGATTTTTCCGACCTGATCGGTTCGACGTAGAACCTAACGCAGTTGGAGCTGCCAAGAAGTGGGATCACTGGTTTGCGACTTTTTCCTACTTCATTGAATCAATGGGATCCGAAAATCCTTCGAAACTACATATTCTCTTCAATCATATTTCTACTTCTGTATACGAATGCATTTCTGAATGCAAAACATACGAAGAAGCTATCGACACTCTCAAGAGTCTCTACATGCAGCCTTGCAACGAAGTGTTTGCTCGACACTTGTTAGCAACGTGTAAACAAGAATCTGGCGAAAATCTGGATCAGTTTGTTCGTCGACTCAAGTCGCTGACTACAGATTGTTCATTCAGGCAGTTACAGCCGAAGAACATCGTAACGAATCTCTACGTGATTCATTCATCTCAGGTATACAGTCTTCGATGATACGCCAGAGGCTATTAGAACAGCGTACTTTAACTTTTCAAGCGGCATACGATCAAGCACGAGCTCTAGAGATGGCACATCAACAATCGCAGTCATACAACAATCCTGTTACACCTTGCGCGTCCATTTCTTTACATGATGTACCTCATTCATCAGATTCCACACCCTCCGTCAATGAAACAACCATTGCTGCCGTTGAATCCAAATGCTTTTTCTGTGGTAATCGTAGACATCCTCGTTCCAAATGCCCCGCCCGTGATGCAGTTTGCAAAGCTTGTGGCAAGCAAGGACATTTTCAGAAGGTTTGCAGGTCTGCGCCATCTACGAAAAAAGGTCCATCTTCAGTTAACTCTATAATTTCATCTCTCGTTGTGGCTTCAGCACCTCAAAGTCTCACTGATGCTGTTACGCAGCTTACTGTCAATGGGAAATCAATGCAAGCTCTAGTGGATACCGGAAGCAGTGAGAGCTACATCTCTTCCTCAGTTGTTCGTAAGTATAACTGGAAAGTCCATAAGTCTCGAAACAGAATCACAATGGCGAGTACGAATCTTACTAGTCATACTGAAGGACATTGTTTTCTATCCATCTGCTATAAAAACCACACTTATGATCTATTCAAATTTTCCATTCTTCATAATTTATGTGCAGACGTCCTTCTTGGACATGATTTTTTAAAACTTCACAAACACATTGAGATTCCTTTTGGGGGATCAAAGCCGCCTTTTTCTCTCTGTGGTCTACCTTGTGTTCGCGTCGACCTGCCTACTCTGTTTGAAAATCTTTCAAAAGACTGTAAACCGATCGCGATAAAATCCCGGCGTTATTCTCGTGAAGATGAAAGTTTTATTTCCACCGAAGTCAACCGGTTACTGCAAGAAGGTGTTATTGAACCTTCTAATTCTCCTTGGCGAGCTCAAGTTCTTGTTACGTCAAACGAACGCCATAAAAAGAGGATGGTAGTTGATTATAGTCAGACAATCAATCGATTCACTTTTCTGGATGCTTACCCATTACCTAGGATTGACGAAATGATAGAAAAAATCGCACAATATGACATATTCAGCACTCTTGATCTGAAGAATGCTTATCATCAAATTGCCCTAAGGAACGAAGATAAACCATATACTGCTTTCGAGGCTTGTGGGAAACTTTACCAATTTTGCCGAATTCCTTTTGGTGTTACCAATGGCGTAGCTTGTTTTCAACGCATTATCGATGAATTGATCAGTAAAGAACAACTCACAAGCACGTTTGCCTACATTGACAATGTCACTATCTGCGGCAAAACTCAGGAGGAACACGACAAAAATCTAAACAAGTTTATGGTAGCAGCACGCAATTATGGAATAACCCTTAATGATTCCAAAAGTGTGATCTCAAGCAGAAGCATACAATTACTCGGTTATGAAGTTTCAAAGGGGTTATTAAACCAGATCCCGATCGGCTAAAACCTCTTCGTGATCTAGAACCACCCACAGATATCAAATCTCAACAACGGGCCGTTGGATTATTTGCTTATTATTCACAGTGGATCCCTCGCTTCTCAGATAAAATCCACCCATTGGTAAATAATCGGATTTTCCCTCTTGATATCGAAACTCGAAATGCTTTTGACAAACTGAAAGACGACTTAGAACGTGCAGTCGTTGTGGTAGTTGATCCGAAAGCACCCCTTGTTGTTGAAACAGATGCTTCAGATGTCTCAATTGCAGCTACATTAAACCAGAATGGTAAACCTGTCGCCTTCTTTTCTCGAAGCCTCTCTCGAAGTGAGAAACATCATTCATCGGTTGAGAAAGAAGCCTATGCCGTGGTTGAAGCAATTCGTAAGTGGAAGCATTACCTTCTCGGAAATCACTTCAAACTTGTCACTGATCAACGTTCAGTAGCATTCATGTTTGACAAGATTCATAAAGGCAAAATCAAGAACGATAAAATAATGCGTTGGAGAATTGAGCTATCCCCTTATCAATATGACATCATTTATCGTCCTGGAAGGGATAATCAAGCTGCTGATACATTTTCCCGTAGTTTCTGCGGTTCCTTGCAGTCAGTGTGCGACTTGAAATTTCTCCATGACTCTATGTGCCATCCTGGAGTTGTCCGAATGATGCATTTTGTACGCTCGAGAAACCTTCCATTCTCCCTTGACGAGGTGCGCAATGTAACCAGTAAATGCGTGACATGCTGTGAGTTAAAGCCTCAATTTTACAATCCCTCTAATTTCAAACTCATAAAAGCAACCCAACCTTTTGAAAGGTTAAGCATCGACTTTAAAGGACCTCTACCGTCAGCTAGCCGCAATCACTATCTGCTCACGCTGATCGATGAATATTCTCGATTCCCCTTTGCATTCGCCTGCCCCGACATGTCGTCTCAAACGGTAATGAATTGCCTTTGCCAACTGTTTTCGATTTTCGGTATGCCTTCTTACATACATACCGACAGAGGCGCTGCTTTCATGTCTACCGAATTACGGGCATTTCTTCTGGAGAAAGGCGTAGCAACCAGTCGTACTACCTCATACAATCCTCAAGCCAATGGGCAGGTCGAGCGCCTCAATGGAACACTTTGGCGTGCCATCACTCTAGCATTAAGATCACGGGGCCTACCAACGGCACAATGGGAGTCTGTTCTACTCGACGCCTTGCATTCCATCAGATCTTTGCTCTGTACTGCAACGAACGCCACGCCACACGAACGACTGTTTACCTATAACCGAAGATCGACATCTGGGACAACTCTTCCTACTTGGCTCACTGTACCAGGACCAGTACTTCTCCGGCGGAGTGTTCGTCAGTCCAAATTCGATCCCCTGGTTGAAGAGGTGGAGCTATTGAATTGTAACCCGCAATTCGCTCACGTTCGCTTCGGTAATGGACGTGAAGATACAGTTGCTCTTCATCATCTGGCACCCAAAGGCGAAGATATAGATCAAGTTGAAAATTCAATACCGGAGGGCGACGCAATTCCTGAGCAACAAGTAAATGGGGATGCGACCACTGATCCTAATATTCTTCGTGAAGAAAATACAACTGAAACGAACAACGGGCGTATTCTTTTGGAAAAACAACAACGTGTACGGCCTTACAATTTGCGTACCAGAGAAGCGTGACATAATGGCTCATTCCTTTTCAAGCCGCAGTGAATGTTGTGAACTTTTCTTATAATACGTATCTAGTCATATTCATATCTCTACCGCTATTAACACTCTTTTTTCCCTTTATATGTTTAAGCCATTCCGGCTTCATTGTAAAATGAATAAAGCCTAAATTCTTGGTTCATTCGTCTTTTCAAGATTCAAGCATCACTCATCGTTCTAAGACTCAGTCACCTTCGCAACAACAAAGATAAGTGTTATCAAGCTTTTATGTACTTTTGATTTTTATGTACTTTAGTCTACACTCCTAAGATTCTCTAACCACCATAAAATTTACGGTTGTGTATTTGATAGATAATTTACAAAGCAAGCTCATTCAGAATTGCATAGATTATCTATGGTCTAATTTCTTTAAAAGTAAAGCATAGGTCTGATTGTTACACGACCGGCAATCACAATGCTACCAGTCAGTGAATATGGTGGTCGATGAAATATAATTACCTTTACAAAGCTAAAAACGTTCACAGAATATACTTCTTGATAAAATATGACCGCAACACCAGAGAAACAGATAAGAGTATGGGTGGGCTTGTAGACAAAAGCTACAAATAAGCATATATGTCTTGCTTAAAACTTTCGCTTAAGGCAAATAATGCAAACTATGTTTTAATATACCTAGGAAGAAGGCATACCTCTAGTATCCTCCACTAAGAACTCCGACAAATCGACATCGCTTCTAGAAGCGTTATTTTCCACTTCTCTTCCCTCTAGACAATTATTACGACTGGTACAAAAATTGTTACGCGTCTCGGTTTCTGCTTGGCGACTGAGTACATCAGTGCTAGTCAAGTGGATTGGCTTGGTTTCTTCTACTCCAGACTTGTTTATGTCTACAATTGAGTTATGTGAAACTGATTTGTGTTTTTTGTTATGATCTGTAGATTTTCTGTCCAAATCTCGAGTGGTATTCTGCAATTTATCACCATCAGCGACTGAAGAGATGATACTTTTGAAAGCTTGTATAGGTTTAAAGTAAGGCCGTTTTAGAGCCTATAAAATAAAGAGTAAAGTTTAAGTAGACAATAATTAGTTGGAAGGAAATTGAAAGCCAATTTAATCTGAGTGGATGCAGCAAGTAGAAACTATTCACAAATAATTTAAAAATAAATACAAATATGAATTCTTACGAAAAATCTCATTCAAAATAAGATAAGGATGGAAAAGCCAGGAGTCATACAACCACTCAATATTTAAAAATGATTCCACAACGTCAACAATAACCACATAAATTACTTTTACTGTAAAAGCAATGGGCAAATCAAGCACCGAAGACAAATAAAACCTTGCATAGGACCTGTGAAGATCGGTAGATATGAGTAATTATCCTGTATTTCAGGTGAAATTTAGCCACTTATAACTTGAAAATGTAGATTATAAGGTAAGTGACATCATTGATTGTTGTACTGTTTTAACTTCAAGTGGAGAAGGAACAAACCACAAATCACAACATTCATTTATTCAATCAAACTTTAAGTGAAAATTGACAAGCAACATATAAACATTCCCAAATATACTGATGCTCTTCTTCGTCTCACTGACATGCGTGCAAGTACTCGTAAATAAGTTTAAGGGAAATCAACTTTTAGACACATAGTATTCATACTGAATGGTATTAAAATTATTAATCTGAGTACTATTGCATTCAAGATAATAATGAATCAGTGTTTTGGTGGCAAAGTGTGCAACATGGGGAAGCTTTGCAATAAGTACTCCTGAATAGCTCTCAATTAATTAGAAAAAGCGACCTTCCACGTCTCATTGCTCTTTAGTATTTCCCCGAATTAGTAATTTTTACAGAAAAAGTCAGAGCTAATTTGACACTAAGGTTTCCCACGTAAGGTGAATCCTATCACATATTTATTGTAGATATAAAGAAAATAGTCATAAAAACACTTCTTCAAGACTATGTGAAAACTTGAAGCCTCTTACTTCACGAGCCGTTGGTCGGTGCTTCGGGTTCCACGATATTAGATCTAAAATTAGTCGAATACCTTCATGATTGGCATTAGGAATTAGAGTCTGCAAAGGTACTGAAGAGCACTGTGGAAATTTGAAATTCATAGCGGCAGCCAGCTGATATCCTTCGGGCCAATCGGTCTAAATATTTTAAAATAGCACAAAAAGTAGGATAACATGCTAGAGAAGTCTAGCGAAACGCTAAGCAAGTACTTGAAATGATAATAAAAAACCTCAAAATAATAACTGCAACTGAACGAAATTCAGTGAGACATAAGGTAACCCCTTTCTACTGCTTTAGCATTTACGGACAATGTCAAGTGTTCCACAAAACTGTAAACTGATTAATTGAATTGGCTTGAACTATAGGAAACTTCTGAAACTCTTAGAAACTTTACAAGAAACAAGGGTATAGAAAGAACAACGGAGAAGAAAATCCAACCTATTTTGAATTACTGAACTATTTTCAGTATGAGTTTTTAAAACATAAATATGATCATATAGTCTTTCATTTCGATCTAATGATTTACTTATTTTTTAAATTATGATCCACGGTTTTTGATTCACGGTTTGTACTTACAACCATTTGGAAATAGATTTCAAAAGAAATAAAAAATAAATATGAAGGGGGATCGTAACATGCTTCAGAAAGAACAATACCACTTGAAACAACATATTGCTGATCCTTATTTTAACTCAAGATTCTGCTATAAAGAGGCAGAATATTGTATTATATTTAAGTGCCTCATTAGGAATGAAGTTATTATTATTACTATGAAGATCGATTTCACATCATGTCGCCTGAACCACTGAGTTCAGCTATCTTGTACGTAACGACTAAAAATCCAACGCAAATGAAACCAATGCTAAATGACTACAGTTGGCCAGTCTAAGCTTTTTTCCCTTAACTCTATCACATCTTAGTGATCAGAGCCCTTGATTTTCGACTGATAAGCCCCAGAATTCGACCTTTTACACAGAAAACATCAACGTTGCATATATCATCAAACCCTGGTAATTTATATACACACATCAGCAAATCAATGGGAAGGTTAAACCAACACAGAAATACAAAATGCAAATAACAAAGTCAAAAGTAACAAAACTTCTATCACAAAAGAAAGGAAATGGAAAGGCGAATTAAGATACAAACATGAAAATGAAAGCATTTGCAAGAGAGAAATCAGTTCTGCTCCACACTGTCTTCACCCAAGTCAGATAACCTGTACTTCCTTACATGGCTCATGAAAATAGTTGACTACTTCATGGATTGGTGTCATACCTAGATCTGACTAACTTTCTTCTTTTAATCGAATTATACTTCCACTAATAGTGTGAGGTAAGTGGAGGTAGTCATAAGTAACACCAGATCAAGCCACATAGAGTGAGAATTAACTTCCTCGTATTACGTATAACTCCAAAGAGAAAAACCAAGAGTTTTTAGACAGGCTTTCACCACTTAACTTTTTTAGGAAACAACATCTACTAAAGATGAAGTCTATGAAATAGCATTTAAAATTGGTAAAAGACATTAATTTCTAATACATTTCCTCCTTAAAACGACAAGCTTTCTCTAATATTCCAGTACCAACACACAAATTGGAACCACTACGTATATGTTTAATTTCACATTTTCCACACTGGGAAGAAGGCAGTGCATTAAGTAAAAAGGAACTCACCTTAGAAGGTGTACCCAAAACGGAACAGATTTTGAAAACCATGTCAATTTCGGAACTGCCAGGGAAAAGAGGTCGGAATGTATACAGCTCCGCCATTATACAACCAACAGCAAATAAATCAACCGGTGAATTGTAACTGGTCGACCTAAGAAGCACCTCAGGAGCTCGATACCTATAGACGCAAAACATAAAACTAGATAGATTGCCATCCTTAGACCTATCAAAGTAACAAAAATACTCCATAATTGTTACCAGTGTATATATCTTCAAGCAGCTCAATAGAATTGCAATAAATTCTTATCAGTTAAAAGTAACGATTGACTGTATCCCTACGTACTAAACCAACCTAACAATTAGTACTTCTATCATCTAGTGCATTCTAAATCAGCTGTGTTTTGGTATTTTTAAAGCTATGGGTGCAAATACAACACCTGAAATATAACTTGGATTAAATGTAATGAATCATTTTATAATTTAGTACAATTACAATAAGCTATATACTTGTTTTTTCTCAAAATCCCATTGGCGGTATTCCCCCTCCCATATATCACTTGTGCCCACGACCTCGTAAGTTTGCTGTTTTCTGCACCGTAGACATCCACCGCAAGCTGCAACCACAAAATCTTTGGCAGGGAATACAGGCTACTTGTTTGTTCATCCGATACTTTTCTACTTGCAATATAAATATATAAATCGCTCGAACTAAATCTGCTTGCTGAAATATACTTTGCGTTTGCAGAAATATTCTAAGAAGAATGCCACTTTAATCCGAATCTGTTGCTAATGAATAAACGTGAAATTCAGGCGACAGTCTCAATTTAGTGGAATTCTTAAAACGCATAGTTCTGTAGCAGTATTTCTGAATCCACTTTTAAGGTGCTAACGTAAATAAAAGCCAACTATAAAGCTATAAAAACTGGGTTTCGGCGGTATGATATTAAAAAGACCCGTTTCAGAGAAGGTGCCAAAGTGGTATTCTTTTTGAACATATAAGAGTTCAAAAAAACATCTATTTGGCGAAGCTGAAATAAATGAAGTGAAATACCGCCCGAAATTCTGAGACAGTTAAAAGACGTTAGTCACGAAAGCGTAATGGAAATTTTCAATAAAATCATTATTAAGTTTACGTATTTCGCGTACCATCTAGTAGATACATAATCAGTGTACGGAGGTTGAGAACGAATTTCACGAGCGAGTCCAAAGTCTGCCAGTTTTACTGTGTCTGGCCCATTGCATAACAAATTTTCGGGTTTCATATCACGGTGAAAAAAACCTGGGAAGCAAACAGGATTAACAGTGAAAGAATGTAAAAATTATACCTAACAGTAACGTTATCAGAATCTATTTAGATGACTTTCCTTCTCTGTCTATGTAGAATTTAGATTCATCCACAACAACATTCAGACGCATTTGATTTCAATCGTGACTGCAATTTTTGAAATGTCATAAACTCATTTGCGACTCCAAGATAAGACAGCTGGACTTCGAGGTGTCGGAGGGATTAAATATGCTATTTTTTAAAATAAAAATCGTGAATAAGAGCTATTTGAACCAATCAAAATAAAGCCAATAGGAGCAGTGCTAGAAGTCATGTTGAGATGACAAAAATTACTCACCAAAGTAACTTTAGTGTATATGATTTCCCAAATAACATCTGCTAAACAGAAGCAATGTGACTTTATTCACCTCTTAACACATGGGACTGTCTGAATTTTGAGGAGTTTCAAATTAATAGCTACAGTTTCGAACGAACTTTAACCAGAACACAACGACCGATTGTTACAATAATACGTTACACACATATTTTTTTATCTAAGAACATAACTCTTTCTATCCATTACAATAATGAATTGTAAAATAATGATGCTGGGAAACGAGAATTAAAGTTACCTTGCTTATGCATGTAATGAAGCCCATCTAGCACTTGCCAAATTATATTACGAATAGTCTCTTCCTGAAATAGTTTTGTCCTGTAAAAATAATTGAATGTTGTTATTAAAGAAAAAAGAGGGAGATATCAATGAGCACGTGAAACACAACATGAAAATAGGAACACCACCTTCTCTTAATCATTTCATACATATTCTCCTTCATATACTCGAAAACAAAATATAATTCATCATTCTCACGTATAACTTCCCGGAGTTTCACAATATTTGGATGATTCAACCGCTTTAGGGACTTTAAAAGAAACAACAAGCAAAAACTAAGTTAGAGAGCATCAAACTAGTATTTGTAAAAGTAATTGAAATCTACCACAAAAAGTATATGACATGAAGCACTACACACATGGCACTAATATTTACCTCGACTTCATAAGCTCATAAACATTTCCATCTAGAGCCTCAAATATTAAGTAAAGATGGTCATTTTCGCGTACTACTTCCCTAAGTCTCACTATGTTGGGGTGAGATAATTTACTTAGAGACTTCGAAATAAGATGATATAAAGTCATTCAAAACGACTTACCTTCACTTCACGAAGATTAAGACATTCATTCCAAGAGAAAAACTTTCTTTTCATTCTATACTGCTTTATAATAAAAAATTATTCCATACTTTTTAATCGCAACTTTTTCCTTCGTTTCCATAGAAGTAGCGAGTAACACTGAACCATACGTTCCATCTCCCAACTGTTTGATAAGTGTATAACGATTCATTTCATCCTATACATCTAATAACTTATCAACAAACCGACGCACCTAAATCCGACCAACAAACATCCCGTTTTTGAAAAGTAGCCGCAAGGTGAAACATGTTTTCATTGGTGACGGTAAAGTAAAACTAAATATCCAATATTCCTCGACTGGCTTTTATAGACCTAATGTTCACATGAATCTCGCTTCCTGTCTCTTGAGGCTGGTTCAAGAGTTCTGACGGATTTATGGTAATCTATTCCATTGATTTCCGTGGTTTCACTTAATGCAATGAAAGGATGAATTATGTATGTATGTAAGATTAGTACCGTGATAGGCATACTACAGGCTTCAACTCAATAAGAAATCCCCGGTTATTGTTGACAAAAAAGTGTATAGAAAGCAGTAATAATACAGTTTTACAGGAGGTAAGAAGATGAATGCTACATCAAAATGGAAAGTAGGGGAAGTTAGGGTGAGGACATCGAGATATTTTCCCCACTACACTGAAGGAAGCGGAACGAAAAACGCAGATATTAGATTTTTAGGTAACAGAAAGATCGGCGAAAGACAACTGGGCATCTAAGGTCACTGAGACATTAGTTGTGCTAGTAAATCCCACAATAACTACACTACTTCTACTGTAGACGTGCGCCACTCCATATTTTTATCACAGTGATCCAACCCTCTGTTGAGGCTATCAACGGACAGATGGGTGAAGACGTCGATGGGCGTAGAAATCTATAAGTAGCAAACCCTAAAGAAAAAAGCAAGCCTTCCCATTCTTAAGGCTTTCAGGCGATGAAAATTTTGGTATTGCACGGAGTTACATGGTTCCCTTCAGATTACATATAATAATAATTTTATTTTCATATAAACATAAATGTACATGAAAATGCATGCCATTTTTACAGGCACGATCAAGTATGTTATAATGTCAAATCTTAAATTGTCTACAAGTTAATAATGTTTCAACAGTTAAATATTTGATATATATATTTATATAATTACACTCATTGTCTGAACCAGGCCGTATAGTTATTGAATTGTACAGTTGTCCTCCAGGTTGGGCGGGAAAATCGACTTAGTTTCGTTTTCATCCCGTGGTTGTAGGCATACGATAACCAACCAACATTGAGGTAAGTACAACGTTTACAAGGGATTGGAAGCTGTTTTAGAAAAGTTAAAGTGCTAAGGTGAAACATTAAAGTATAATAGATTAAGTGAGTGAAATATATCATTAATAAACACATTTATGTAGAAAACAGAATGGGGAAGTAATTAATCCTTAGGCCGACAACGTTCATTTGCAATGTATAATAAAACCAATATATTTTGTACTATCATGATGTCCACTTTTGGCTTTAATACAATTATTTTCAAGCCAGTTGTTTTTATTTCATGCCTTTTTGTCTGTTTGGTGCACAACCGTACCCTCCAGAGAATAGGAATAGAATAAGTCGAATCAAATTCATAAAGAGCTATAAAATGTTAGGTTTAATGGAATCTAATGAGGATCAAGTAAAGACGTTATTAGAAAATAAGTGAGACAAGATATTGTGAAGTGGTATTTAAAGATCTGACGATCGATAGGAAGTTAATTTATAAGATGCCCCATAAATCTGTGCAGATCCCACATGGTCGCATCTCAACAATAGGCTGAGGGAATGGTATATATTTAAAGGTAGAAGCATGATCTGTCAAGGCGTTCATTATTATCTTTTTCAAGATAAAGATCTAAGCCCTCATAAAAATCATGAAAATCTCGAGCCTTCAAATTGCATATTGCTGTTCCTGCAGAATTGGGTGATTCACCTTAGTGACCACCACCATATCTACTGATCAGCTAGCGCCACCCTCCCTCCTTTTTTCTATATAAATGTATAAATATATCATATCAACTTCACTGGGCTAGGGGCGATGGTGTAGAACTCCAAGAGACTGCCTTACGTTCACGGTGGCTAAATTTATGCAGACGAAACCAACAAAGTCGGTCCTATTGAAACGATAGGAGATGTAGTCTTGATAAAGGAGTGTTTATTTACGATTTGGTATCCATATGTCGAAATCATGTACACCTTGTCTTCATATTACCATTCGCATAGATCTTCCGTGTTGTGCTACCTCTGACCTTCATAGAATGTTTCCTTTCACCTCTCCCATAAACTCCTAAACGCCGTATCATTTGCCCTGACTGGCGTCAAATCTATCTCCCTGCTCTTTGATATTTTTATGTGGATGAACATCCATTTAAACGCATACTACCGATAAATATTAACGGTAGCACACACTACACTCGTCACACCATCGAATGGTTTCAAACAGGGCCGCTCCTACCCTCCTGTTCCCACCCGCCTCCTTGGTACCTCGGTCCTGGCTTCACTGTCCCGCTGAATCTATTTCGGTAATTGCCTGATGTCAACTCTTTCATCCTATCTCCCTCCTTTGATGGCATATAAACGGAAGTTCGTCTCACAGTGTCAGTGTGTGGCCCTTCCAACTTCGAGAGGGGGGACGTTAACTTGGAATATATCCAACCATATACCCGTTTTCTCTGCACTTTACTTGATCGCCGATCCCAGAGGTTCTGCGTTCCATCGTATCTGCATGTTCCGACCTTGCAGTCTTTTTTCTCTTCACGCTTTACTTTCCTGAAGCCGTCTTTCCGCTCGGTTCGCAGCCCCATCATATTCCACCACTGATGGAGAGCCAGGTTGCGCTGTGTATTGGTAGTCGTGATTTCCACTAAATCAACTGAACTATGACTTCTTCGGGGTAGGGGCAGACGATTTGCCAGGGGAATCAATGGGAGCTCTGTATTCTAGTTACTTCTCTTCTAGGTCAACCACTCCGTCATTACGCGGCTATATCCCCCGTTTACATCGTCCATGTGTTGGTAATGTAGTGTTTTTCTTATCATCTTGATACTCAGATTCTCCAAATGGGAAGTGAATTATCTTTAAAATCAAGGACCCTGGTCTGTCACTGTAGTCTGCCACTACCCGTTGAACTACTGCGTCTGTGAATGTAGTTGAAGATTGAACGATCAATTCATGGTTGTTTGCTCAAAATCAACTTCCCGAATTTTCGCGGAGGCATCAATACGACAGTCATCGTCTCATCGGTTGCTGTTCAGAAAGAAGAGTGAAACATCGTCAGAAGTAATATAACGATTTATTATTGTAATATTTGTTCACAGACCTTAGTGGAACATTTTTTATATGTTGGTGTTACAATAAAGAATTCTCAAGTGGCCAATCGGTGTTTTGGTTTTCGCGTCCGTTATTACTAAGCGTTTCTGAGAAACTTCAAGGAACAGCGTGAGCCCGAGCGTAGCAAGAGCTGGGCATTAACGGTTTACGAGACGTGACTGACAGTTTCTGACGGTAGAAACAGATCTGGCGGATTCAGACAGTTGGTGAAAGTTTGGATAGTCACCGTTCATCTTTCCTGGTGCCTGTCAAGTCCTATTTGATCAAGCAATGTCTGGAACTTTTTTGGAATTGGGTCAAGTTCAACAATGCCCGGGTCAAAGAAGGGACAGAGCGTCTTGGATGCAAACAGGAAAGTAAGTCATGGTGACTTGTCTGTTAATTGTAACGATGTGTCTGATGTTAAGCATGACACTGTTGATGTTACTGTTTCGCCGTTCAGGGATAATAGGAACATCAAACTCCCTAAATTTGAACCACTGTGTTTCGATGGAAACCCGGCTGATTATCTACAATTTGTAAAGGAGTTTGAGATCATGTTGAGTAGTTTTCTATTAAGTGATGAATTGAAATTGATGTATTTGATGAGATATTGCACTGGAGATGCTTCAAGAGCTATACAGTGCTGTACGTTTATGAAGCCAAAAGAGGGCTACGATGAGGCTATGAGCATACTACGTCAAAGGTTTGGAAGACCTTCAATGATTGTAAGGAACGTATGCGAAGCTGTCAAAGGTAACGGCAGTCAACTTCAAGATGACTCCAAGGCACTTACTGAGTTTTTAGATAATCTTATGACTTATAAGAATACCTTGATTTCTATGAATTTCATGAGTGACCCCAACTCGAGTTTTGTACTAGAAGTAATAGCAAGACGCCTCCCTACTCGACTGCAAAGGAAGTGGGTGAAGATAAGCTCCCGTGTGGAGGATGAGGGTATCGAGCCAAAGCTTGACGATATCCTGAAACCAGTAAAAGATAGCGTCAATCAATCGATGAGCAAGTTTGCCAGTATATTGGATCTCACCCCTAGAATAGAGCAGTCTGAGGATAAAACGCAATCATTGATGACGAATAGGCCTCAGAGAGGTGGATATCGAGAAGGCTCCATGATGTATAGTAATGCGTATAAACTTAATGAGTGTAACAGGTTTCGTAGTACATGCTCAACAGATAAGTTGCAAGATGCAAGACAAACACGGTTGTGTTTCACACGTTTGCAAGAAGTGCATACAAAGGTGAACTGTGAACCAGTGACCAAGTTCAGGGATAAGCTGAATGTGAAATCCAGGTCTGACTTCGAATTGTGTGACGATAACGGTGCGGTGAAGAAGTCTGTAGTTGCGACTGGTAAGCCATTGTTGAATAGAGTGTCACAGAATAGAGTTGCTGCTTCAGAGTCCAGTTCTGACTCCACAAGTTTACAAGGTATTACTAGTCGGAGTGAGGTTATAAAACCTTTTAGGATTTGCGAGGAGGAATCGAAATTGTCTACTTCTGTTATTAAAGAGTTTGAAAATGATGAAGTTGACGGTAAAGTGAATATTCGTGATAATGATCATGATACTTCACAGTTGTCTTTGGTTGATCATAATGAGATGATAGATATGCCTATTACTGCTGAGTTGAACAAAAGTTTCTGTACAACTTGAACGTGAAGTAGAAATAAATGCAGGTGCAGTTGCAGAAGGCATGCATACTTGTGAGACTGTCAGTGTAAGTGATCAGCATGTAGCCCACCTATCATCAGATGCTAGTGCTCAACCCGAACTAGTAGTGAAAGACAGCAGTGGTGGTAATCTTGCAGTTAGA